CTATGTATCCGAAGGGTCTACATAGGTATGCACACTAGCCTACTCAGCTCAGGTACGTTGATTCAAAGAACGCAGCTCTTGGAAGCCCTGCTGTATAGTTATATGCCCTACATACCCATCTCTATATCCTTCGTTTCGTAACTTCCGTGACCGAAGACGTCCTCTCACGCGTCGTATGCACAATCGTCTTCGCCTCCATTGAGTTCTTAGTCGAGCCCAACTCTTGCTTCTTACTCTTAACAATCGCTGGATGTCTTGTGTCCGCGGCTACGCGCTCATAAACAGTCGCCACAGTCCCAACTACTAGACAGAGCAGCAAGATCAGGTCAACGATGTGCACACCCCACCACCAATGCTGAACCCCGACTCCACACGTGCTAAACTCGAAGACCCACTCGCCCTTCTCGCCCTTACTTTCATCGAACCACGCTGATAGGAAACCTGCGTAGCCTGAGTACTCTCCCATCATGCTGCGGAGGGTGATCTCGCGAATGTGAGGGACATCGTTGATGGAAGTGCATTCGTTGGCTGGGGTGATGTCGTATGGACGAGTTGGGAAGCGACGAGCCTTCCATTTCGGTGGCGCGGGAGGTTCAGGATCAGGCGCTGAAGTAGGCTCTGGTGACGATTCAGATGCTGTCTCGTCCGAGGCTACATCGGATTCGGCACTGGTATCGTTAGCGGCTACCACGTTGATGTCGACGCCATCGATATCCATCGAAGTAGCAATCATGGTCGCATTCGTAGTGCTCGCTGGCCAGTATGCCTCCTCTCTCTTCACATGGGCCACTTGACACGCATCGTCCACGCCGGGCTGACGAATGTAATGTACGACGTCACAGCCAGCGTGATCATGCCCGTTGAGTATTATACCCCTCCTACCCTGCCCTTTGCCCTCTGCATCTTTATTCGCACTCATGCCAAACAACCCCTCGAGAACAATCTTACTAGCATGGTCTGATAGCATATTTTGCTCCTTCACCCCTTGACCTTCTTCAAAGAAGTCGAAGTATGGGCTGTCAACACAGACACCTTCCTCCTTCTCGAGCGGAATATGGGTGAGGAGTATGGTAGCGTGTGTCTTGTCATCGACTGGAAGAGAGCTGGTTATGATGTGGTTCATGTAGGAGTATGTCTCGGTCTGAAGGTCGGAGGACCAGGCGGGTGTATCGAGATTCATCGAGTTCAGGATGATGAGGCGGAGTGTCGGAGGCCTGGGCAGGTCCTGTATAGCGCGTTTGGTGGTCTTGTTCAAGCGCAGTGTGTCCGGGAGCGTGAACCAGATATCCCAGTTGGAACTTCCAAAGGCCTTTTCGAATCGCTCGATACGCGACTCGTCGATGTCGCCAGCGTAACCAACGTCGTGGTTTCCAACTATGTTAATGACGCGCTTCTCCCAGTCTTGATCAGCACCCAGCACTTCCGTTGTGCCACCCCACAGTGCCTTCCTCTCTAATTTCTGCTCCTCGTCTATCGTCTCTTCTCCTGAAACTTCTAGTTCCAATGGAGGTTCTGTTGGCGGCTGTTCTTTCTTCTCAGTCTCAAGAGCACCAAAGATGGCATCCGGCACCTTCTCCAATCCCCTCATGACAACGTTCCAATAGCGCCCTGCTCGCTTCCTGAATTCACCATCTGTGACCCACTGACTGCCCAACAAGTCACCAAGCACACTGATGTGTGTGGGTTCAGTCCACCATCGTAGGCTTCTCACGATGTGCGACAGATACCAGTCGTTCCCCCACAAATCTACAGCTTTCCTTTTCCCCTCCAGCCATCTGCCAGCATCTTTGACGACACCTCTTGCTGCTTCTTCTACGATGTCTCGTCTGTGGGTGGAGTTGGCTGCATCGCGCAGATTCGGTACGAGCTTCTCGATCGACGGGAAGACGAGCGCATTCGGATCGGGGAGTGAAGAGTCACCCTCGAGCTGGGGATCACCGAGGGAGAGTAGACGGAAGGGTGCGTTGGCTTGCGCCTGCGTGGATGGGGGCTTTGGGAATGCGCAGCCGTGAAAAATGGGGTACAAATACAGCCATGTCGTGCCAATCAAGGCTATCGGACACAGCAGCAGGGCGACGCGGAAAAGAAATCTCGAGAGCTGCATCTATGCATGTTCGGGTCCGGAAAGGGGACGGTGCTGTTGTTTTCACATGCCACACGTTGCGCGCGCGTCGACAGCGTCTTGGCCGCGGAGGTCACGCAGGGGTGACATTGGCCAATCAAAGAGGCGCATTTGCGGAGAACCATCACTGTCCTTACGGTCTTCATCATCACTATTTTCAGATATAAGATCGTCTATTACGCTCTTTCTCGACTGTCGTAGTATCATACGCCGCATTTTGTATCTTCAAGTCAAACAAAAAAAAAGTATTGCATACTGTTACGGCATCTAGCCCAGCAGATCTCCCAGAGCGCCACCAGGCTTGGACCCTGACTGCGATGGCTGTGCGGCAGGGGCAGGTGTGCTAGATGCAGAAGCAGGGGCACCCCAGAGTCCTTGTGACGTCTTTTGCTTTGCCAAATCCCCCATGGTGACCTTTTGTGTTGGCGTGGAAGACTTCTTTGGCGCAGCTCCTGCAAGTAGAGAAGCGAAAGCGTCACCGCCAGCTTTCTTAGGGGCAGCTCCTCCGCCAATGCGACCACTTGGTGACATGACAGAAGGAGTAGATGCTCCTGATTGGAGTGCGGGCTGAGGAACGGAAGTGAAGTAGTTCGGGCCGGCCGCTTGGTAACCTGTGGGTTGTGGTGGCTGCGAGAAGCTCGACGTCATGGAAGGAGGCGCGCTCATCTTATTCGCAGCGGGTGGTGGCGAGACGGTCGCAAACAAGTTGCTGAGATTGTTGTTCTGCGCAGCAGACTGAGCCTGCGGTGCGGCGAATTGGGTTGACGAAGTGATGTGAGAGGTCGAGGCAGGAGACGCAACGTTGAAAGCTGAAGCAGCTGGCTTGGATGCAGGTGCTGCCGGTGCCGCAGACTGGAAGTCGTCGAAATCGTCGTCGTCGCCAAAATCGTCACTTGCAGCAGTGACAGGCTGCTTCCCTGCCGAAGTCGACATGGGCGCGGGCTCATCGTCAAACGCAAGTAAGTCGACGACTGGCTCAGGTGCTTTCGGCTTAGGTTCCTCCTTCTTGACTTCTTTCTTTGTGTGACTCGCTGTAGGCTCTCTCCGCCGTGCTGGTGCTGAGCTGGCATCACCCTCGTCGTATTCGTCGTATTCGTCGAACTTGTCGCGCCTCTGTTGCGTATCTGCGAAGCCAGACTGATTGCCTCCGAAGCCACCACCGTCGCCGTATACCTCCCCTCTGTAACCGCCATAGTCGGCTTGTTCGCTACCAAAGCCTCCGTAGCGGCTGCCACCTCCACTGCTTCCCGAGAAGCCGCCCATGCCGATGCCCGCTCCGCCCTCGACACCGCCAAATTTATTTCGGTTCGCTCGCGCTTTCTTGCGCTCAGTCCGGATGCGATCGACATCGCTGAGGAGTTCGGCGAGCTCCTTGGCACGGTTGCGTACGTTGATGCCCTGATCCTTGCCGTTGGAGTCGATGAAGTGGAATTGCCGTAGCATCTTGAGGAGCGAGACATGAGAGCGCGCGTCGTCGATTACTCGTTCCGAACCGTTCTTGATCAGGTATTCGAGAAGTTGCAGGGCCTGGGTCTGTTAGCGACGGTGGTGGCACAGAGCGCTCAACGTACCTTGTAGATCTGTCTCCATTCCTCGGAGGCCTTCTCGGTGAAGCGCTTGTAAATCATGGGCATGATCTCATTCAGTAGTTGGCTGCTCTGTTAGCCGTGGTCCACCAGCTCCTCAGGCATCGCCTACTAGTTGAAGGTTCCATTGGCGATCTCCTGTAGCATAGTCGAGGATGCACCTTGCCATCTGTCAGCGGAAGCCTTCGTCGCGCACGAGGTTTCGCTCACCCCATGGCTCATTATTTGTCGCCTCGCGGACCTTGGCCTCCATCTCCGTGTAGTTCATGACGGCTGCGCAGCGCGTTAGCATTGGCCAGCTGGCTTCATGCGCCCCCTCAGCCTACCATTCTGGGCCTTGCGAAATCCGGCCTTGAGATCGTAGAGCGTGAGGTTGCTCACTTGGTCCTTCAAGCTGTTTAGATCCATGATTGCCGAATGCTGGCGCGTAAATCTGGCGGTTTGGCGATGTGGGTGTATTGTAGTTGGGCTGGCAGCTATCGACCACGGTCTCGGTAGCGGACCCCCGAGGGCGCTTTGCACAAGTTTCGGGAAGTCGGAATGGGCGCCTGCGTTTGGGATATTTATATGACAGAAAATATCAATCAGGAAGGATGCAGAAGCCTTCAATTACGGGAATGCGTTTACCTTGTCAGCAAGCCAACCTGTGAAGTGCATACACCGTAGATAATCCGGCAGCAGCCCGAGTTTCACGTGACATGAGCTTGGACCTTGCCCGCCTCGAGAACTACAAACAACACTACTTCGACAATGGTACGACTCGGCATACGGATATAGCGTGGTTCAATGGACATCCGTATCCCTCGTTGTGTAAGAAGAAGCGGATATCAATTCCAGAGCGGGCCGGTCCCACGCAAAGGTCCACGATTGACGTGAGCGATGAAGCGCCGAATCGGGGAACGCGCTAGACTCGTGCACAAGCTTGAGGTATCCAAAGTTTTCCGTCTGGTCATCCATCCGACACTACACCTGCTGCCTCTCGTTGGTAGTCCATCAATTGTATTATATCTGTTCCGTTTTGCATATTGTGTTGCATAGCGGCCCGATTCCTCCTCGTATAACTTCTGTAAGTTGCCACCGTTGGATTTGTACACCTCGATCCTTGAGTTGTTATAGCGATGTCGCAGTTCTGTGTAGCTCTAAATTGAGTTTACAGCCAACAAAGTGGCACCGGACTTCAGCTCCAAAGCTGCAGCGTCTCCCAGAAGAAAATTACCTGCTATCTCACGATTCACTGCCAAGCTCCATGACCTAACTGCCTATCAGGTTAGACTCACACCCCGCGCTGCATCATGCCCCACCTTCCGAGAGCTTCTGCTCTTTCAGCTTTCCGTGCAGGTCCCCAACTGCGCGCTCCTGTCAACAAACGCTTCTTCACTCCCTCGGCATACAACATGGCCATCAAGGCTTACTTTGATTGCTCTTGGACCGGACCCACCGTCGAGGTCGACAACGCTGGCAACGTCACTAGCCAAGGTGATGTCAAAGGTAGCTCCTGCCAGCTTTGCAATAGCATGTTACTTGCAATTGCTAACTTTGTATACCTGCAGCGCAAACCGGCCGTGTCAACTTCGAGCTCTTCGACGATGTCGTCCCCAAGACGGTTGAGAACTTCCGCGCTCTCTGCACTGGCGAGAAGGGCTTTGGCTACAAGGGCTCAAAGTTCCACCGCGTGATTCCCGACTTCATGCTCCAGGGTGGTGACTTCACCCGCGGCAACGTGAGTTTTGGCCCCAACACATCACAGAGACAGTTGGCTAACAGGCAGTAGGGTACAGGTGGTAAGAGCATCTACGGTCCCCAGTTCGCCGACGAGAACTTCAAGTTGAAGCACGACCGCCCCTTCCTCCTCTCCATGGCCAACGCCGGCCCTAACACGTAGGTTCTACACACCCACGGATGAGCGGTGTCATGGCTAACACGTCACAGCAACGGCTCCCAGTTCTTCGTCACCACCGTCGTTACCTCATGGCTTAACGGCAAGCACGTCGTCTTCGGTGGCGTTCCCGACGGCGACGTCGAATCCTACAAGGTTGTCCGAGCGATCGAGGCCTGCGGCTCCAGCAACGGCAGCATCAAGTACAAGGATGGCCCACCCACCATTACTGATGCCGGAGCCCAGTAGATACTCTGCGATGAGAGTGGAATATAACTATGGTCGACTATCTGAGGAGGATTTTTTTGTGCAATAGACAGCTTGCGATTCAGTAGTCATGGTCAACAGGGCTCCATAACTCTTCGAGAGTCTATCCATTAGCGAAATTACCCATTTCGATGCACATGTGACAATTCCGATACATTTCTCAGACCCTGTCTTCCACAGCGCAGGCGCGCTGCTATCTGCGACTTTTTTTGTCGCGAGGAGGGGCAACAATTTACCCCGCATTCGTCATATCTCCGGTCATTCCGCACTACAGGAGCTTGCGCGGAAGAACATTCTTCGAGGGATGTCCCTATGCTACTCCACGGGTATACAAGTATCGTTCAAGTATATCTATCACCGAGATGTTCGAGACTCCACCAAGCGCTGCACGAGCTTAATAGCTTCATACCCACTCCCCAGCTCATGCTACGCCTGTGTCCACAATTGCCGGCAAAGCTCCACTCCAATCGCGTCAACGGTTAGATCTAGCGGCCGTGGTCCGCAATTTTCACCGTATAGGGCGTGATGTCGCAATACTCGTCATGTCATCGTGATAAGCGTGTTCTCCATTTACTCAGAGTCATTCGTCCACTCTGATAGAAAGAGTTGTGTCATTTACCTTCAGATTGACGTTCGTACAGCATCCGAAACGATCGCAATACTGCAGATATCGCTAGCTGCCTGCCAAAGATCTCAGAGTCATCCATTCACAGTCATCATGTCGGCATACCACCCCTCAACACACGGTGTCCATGGCGACGACCGCATCAATGTCCTCACCGATGTCGCCCCACCAATTCACACATCGACTACCTTCCGGTATCCTCACGACCCATCAGAGCTCCAACCGGTCCCGAAAGAAGGCGAATTCGTTGACCTACAAACCCCTCTGATCTACTCTCGTCTCGCATCCGCCAGCACCAACCGCCTAGAAACAATCCTAGCGCCTTTACTCTACCCTGATGCAAAACAAGACGAGCTAGATGGTCAGTCCGGGTTAGCAAACCATGTCGTCAGCTACACAAGCGGCCTCAGCGCTTTCCATGCCATGCTCGTCAACATTGTTCCCAAAGTTATTGCCATCAGTGGTGGCTACCATGGCTGCCATGGCGTGATCGAACTGCACAAGAAGATGCACGGCGTCAAGACCGTGGATCTCCACGCCGATGACGCTGCTTGGGACGCCGCCGGCTTAGGTAAAGGCGACCTCGTGCATCTCGAGACACCCTTGAACCCCACAGGAGAAGCTTTCGAAATAGCGAAGTACGCCGCCCGAGCGCACAAGCGGGGCGCGTTCCTCAGCGTCGACGCTACATTCGCGCCACCAGGTCTACAGGATCCGTTACTGTGGGGCGCAGATGTGGTCATGCATTCTGGAACGAAATACATCGGCGGTCACAGTGATATGCTTTGCGGTATCCTGGCCACTGCAAAGGGGCCGGAAGGACTAAAGCAAGCTAATACGCTACGTGCTGAGCGTATTTTCCTGGGTGCAGTCCTAGGTAGTCTAGAGGGGTGGCTCGGCGTGCGAAGTCTCCGGACGTTTGATTTGCGCGTTCAGCGACAGAGCAGCAACGCGGAGAATCTTGTTCGCTGGCTGCAAGACTCACTCAATGGCAAGGGAGAAGACGTAGATACCGTAAAGAAAGTCGTGCACAAGGTTGCTCACGCGAGTTTGCAAGAGAAGGATATGTCGTGGTTGAAGAAGCAGATGCCGAATGGTTTCGGCCCCGTCTTCAGCATCTACATGAAGAGCAGCCAACAGGCGCGGTCTCTTCCCTCCAATCTGCGTCTCTTCCACCATGCGACAAGTTTGGGAGGTGTAGAGAGTTTGATCGAGTGGCGCAGGATGAGCGATGCGGATGTGGACGAGAGGCTGCTGAGGGTTAGTGTGGGCGTGGAGAATTGGGAAGACTTGAAGAATGACTTCCTGGGAGCTTTCGAGGCCTTGGCTGAGGGAGGTGCGAATAAGGAGAGTGCGAGTGGGGACGGAGATGTGCAGGTCGGACAGGATGGGGCGCAGATGCCGAAAGCAGGAGCTGGTGCGGTGTGATGAAGGCCGCTTCATCGTGGCATGTTGTAGGAATAGTTTCAGTGTTATAGATCATTTCAAACACGGACTTGAAGAAAGGACAGTGACTATCATGCCTTCGTGCCATGCGCCTGAGACGGCCAGCTTGGGACAGCACCTGGATTGGGGTCTAGTCTGGGGAAAAGTGGGGAAGCAGAAGCACGAGAAGACGCGTAGGTGCTTCTAGTCAGTGCTTGATTTTGTTTGGGGATAAGCTCTATAATTTTGGTGGCCAAGATCCAAAGGTCATCACCTGACGCTTGCGTGGGAAATTAGCTCCGGCGCTTAGTAAACGGATTGGCAGACGCGTACACAACAGAATGCGGTCACCTGGAGATCTCAAGCACTCGTCAAGACACGTCTCCGCAGTGAAATTACCAAGTGCAAGCTGGTATCGTATCATCAGCTGGAAAAGACGCGAAGCCAGACTGGAACATAGTCGGCGTGGGTGATTGTGGGTCCCCGACGCTTTCCGCAGCCAGAACGGCCCTCTTCGCGGGCGCCATGCTAACATCAAGCCATGACAAAAATTTGCTCCTTCTCCATAATATCCGATACCGGTGCGCGTGGTACCGATGCAGAGTCTGAGTGGAGATGATGTGGTCAGAAGAATTGAATGCTGGGGGCTGGTCCTGGACTTTGAGCGATGCCGCCATGGCTACGCTCGGCTCTCAGCGTGGGCGGCAAACCCAACACAGATCGCGAACGGAGCTGTGCTGGCAAGATGACGCTAATGTGAGGAGCGGCTGGTTGTGCATTTCGCCGACTGTGGGGTAACAGGCATTGCGAAGGTCACGATGGCAGCTTGGAGGTCAAAGCCATGGCAAAAGCAAGGGATCGCAAACTGGAAGTTGATGATGCTACGTCACCGGCTTACACGGGAAGCAGGCACGATGAGTTTCTCACAAACTCTACAACGGTCATTACATCACATCCAGCAACAAACCTCAACACCATCGCGTCGCCATGAATGCCAGACATGTCGTTTACTCCACAGGAACGCGTTGCGGCATTGTCCAATCATCGGTCCGTCTAGCGCGGGCGATAAGCCGGCGTCTGCGTCAGTCTGGCACCATCTGGAGCAACAATGAAGCTGCACTAGTGCGACATGACCGCATCCGACGCAAGCCGAGCATCGCGTGCGATATCGTGGAGCACCAAGAGTACCAACCATGGTATATATGGCCTTCACCACAATGAAAAGCAAGTCACAAGACCTCCAGAATTGCTCGCCCTCTCAAGTTTGCATACACCGAAAATCTATAACCCGTACCGATTCACCAACTCGAAGTGCAAACTACACCACCTTTCACACAACCACTTGAGCGCTAGACTACACCCACATTTCAACATGATGATCCGGAGACAGAACCTCCACCGCTTCCAGAGCCTCGCACTCGCACACACATCCCGAACCCTTGCACAGACGCCGCGCTACGTCTCCCAGAGCGCACGACAGAATGTGTCTATCCCCGCCTCATCACAAGTCTCGACCTCACAACTCCTGTCAACACAGCCAGAGTCGCAAATAGCGCAGACAAAAGCAGTCCTCGGACGCCTACCAACAGAGACCGTCCTCCGATCCTACCTCATCACAGCCGTGTCATCCCGGCCTCTGCTGCTCAATGCTTGCTTCGGCATCTTACGGCGCATGCTAGACTCGAAGTCTTTCCTCCTGAGCATCGAGCGAAACCCGGTGCTGTCCAACCTACTCAAGAAGACTTTCTATGCGCAGTACTGCGTTGGCGAGAAGAAAGATGAGGTCGTTAGGAACACCGAATTTGCACGCACGCTTGGATACGGCGGTATCCTGTTTGAGTACGCGCTCGAGGTTCTAGGCGGAAAGGCACCGACTGCCGAAGAGACCAAGATGGAGATTGAGGTGTGGAGAAAGGGAATGTTGCAGAGCGTTGATATGGCGAAGGAGGGTGACTTTGTTGGACTGAAGTAAGTCTTGACTCGATGGCTTAGACACAAGCACCTACTAACCACCATGTAGATGGTCCGGTCTCGGTCGCCATGCCCTCAACCTCCTCCAGAATCAGCAAGATGCCACCCCTGAGATGTGGGATGCCATCACGGCAGCTTGCGATGCCGCCGCCGCAAAGGGTGTCAGCCTCCTCCCTGGTGCCGAAGAAGAGGCAACCAACCGTGGACTCGAGAAGTGGACACTAGCCCTGCAGGAGAAGTACAACAAGCCCGAGAACGGTCGCGCGGTACTCTACATCACATACCAGTGCTACCTGCGCGACATCTCGAAGCGCCTTGCCGAGCACCTTGAGCGCGCCTCAAAGGGAGGCTACATCGCTGGTGTCAAGCTTGTACGCGGCGCCTACCTCACATCCGAGCCCAAGCATCTCACCTTTGACACCAAAGCCGGCACCGACGCCAACTACGATGCCCTCGCTGATGCCGTAGTCCGCCAACAATGGACTGACAAGGTCCCCGCCCCCACACCAGGCACTCCCTTCCCCAAGGTCAACATTGTCCTCGCAACCCACAACCTCGCCTCAGTCCAAGCCGCCCAGAAGATCCGCGCCCAACAAATGCTCTCCACATCCCCGGAGAACCTACCTCGTCTTACCTACGCCCAACTCCAGGGTATGGCCGACGAGATCTCACAGGCTCTAGTCCAAGACGAGACCATGAAGGCAGACACCCAGGCGAAGGTCGTCAAGTGCATGACTTGGGGTACCACAACCGAATGTCTCAACTTCCTGCTCAGGAGGGCAAGTGAGAACAAGGAGGCTGCGCTCCGTACTGAGGATACCCGAAAGGCCATGGGCAAGGAGCTCTGGAGACGCTTGAGGGGTATTTTCGGCCTTGCCTAGGCTCCTCCTGCTATTTTCGAGATTGACGATTTATGAAGCGAGGCATTTGCATGAGCATAAGCGTGGCGTTTGGAGGACGATTGGGAAGCTATTTCTAGCATCACAGCTACCCTTTTCTTTAGCATTTGGAAGTTTAGGTATTTTGTATAGCAATTTTGGTTAAGAGATTATCCATCAGATAACAACATCAAAGTCACACATTACTTGCATTTCTCTCTCTGTATGACCCTGATCGTGTCAGTCGGATAGTCCCCAGTTTCACTCCTAGACATCGTCGCCGCTGCCGCCCCACAACCCCGCTTACCACGTCAATGTACTCTTGCCCACATTTGACGTGTCGGTATGTACCATTTAATTATTATTAGTCATCAACAATCGCCTCCTTGGCTAAGTGGTAAAGCGTCGCACTTGTACATGCTACGATATGCGAAGATCGGTCGTTGTAAGTTGAACCGCGCTTGGTTCAAATTCCACTACTAACAGTGTTGTAGCGATTCGGCCAGGTGGCATTTAGTGATCTTCTTTTTGCCTCCCTTAGCATTCGATGAAGTTGTCAATTTAATTCCTTTTGCTCACATAACAGCGCATCGATTATGGGGAATATGAAGTCCTGATGTTTGTTTGTACCCAGGCTTCTTACAAATTTTGGTTATCATGACTACTGCAGAGACAAGATGTCTCTATCTTTTCTCTTTTGCTATAGATAGGTCCAGAAGCTTTAAAAACGATTCGAAGGAAGCATTGCAAGTACGTGAAGGTATGAATAACGGGAGAATCATGCCTGCAGATGATGGCGGCCACAGCCCAGCGCACGGGCCCTCCACACCGAGATGTTCCTTCTGCCGCTCACGCCGATCAACATCGCAACATCTCCAACAATGCCCCTGAAGCTAGATGTAATTATGAATAGCAGTACTCGTACACTCGGCGCGCTCCAGGTAGTTCTGTAAACCCTTGCTACCCGCAATCGTACGCCAAGCCCCGGCCCGAAACACCAAGGCCTCCAAGCTCAAACCACAGCTGCTGCAAGATCCGCGCATCAAACACAGCTTCCATAAGCCTCGTCCAGACCACACCGCTCAGTGGTGGAACTCAGTCATGTTAAGCTCAAGAGAGGCAAGGCGAAGCTCTGACCTGTAGGCTTGGCTATACTCGTACGCGTTTAGGAGTGAAAGAAACTGTGTTTCGCAGGCTCGAGGCCTTTTCGTGATTTGTAGCATGCCATTCATGCAGTATAGATGTATGGGAATCCCCCACACTTCTTTCCTTTCTTCTCTTCCCGCTATACTGCCGTGCGGTATCTCTCGTCTGCTACCCTTCTTTCGATTCTTCTTCCTGGCCGGTCCATCATTTCAATAACCTAATTTCTATTTCCATCTATTGAGCTTATCGTTTTTGCCATCATGTACGGACTCATCACTCTCTCGCTGCTTTCCCTCACTTCGGCGCTACCACAACGCAACCGCGGTGGTAACGGCAATGGACAACAAGCGACGGCCTTCCAAAAAGCGGCTCAGGTGCCCCAGGGGATCTCTACAGCCACAGATGGCTCTATGATCCTAGATGACACGGTCATGGTCAACAACCTGCCTATTCGATTCAAGATTTCCGCACCGGCAGATCAATTCCTTCCAGCTTCGGGCGTCCCCGGTGCGGCAGCTACATCGGCGAACGGCACCCTGGGCGCGAACGTGTTGCTCCACGGCGACGGTGGACAGAGCTTCTTCGACATGCCGAACCAAGCTGTTCAGGCCAACACCATGGGTGTTGCGCTACTGGCACCCGATAAAAACCTGTTCTGGGGAGGAGGCTCGGGTCTTCAACGTACAGATGGTGTAGCACACGCCCAGGCCGTCAACGACTTCATCCAAACCGAACTGCCGCAACGGGTTGCAGTTAACATGTCCAACATCGTCTTCACAGGTGTCTCGGGCGGCTCGCTAATGATGTCCGGCTTCTTCATCCCAGCACAGATGCAAAACTACGCCAATTCGGCTGTCGAGCTTAACTGCGGTGGCATGCCGCCGCAAGTCGCTTTCCAGAACGCTGCCACAGTTATGTCTCAGACAAGGATCCACTTCCAATCTACACAGAGTGAGCTCCAATTACTCCAGGGTAGCATTCCACAGGCTGTTACAGCCTACGAGCAGCTCGGTGCAGATGCAGGTTTGAGCGCGGATCAGGTCAACACATTGCAGACAGTGGACAACACACCTGCGGGAGGGCATTGCGAGTTTGACGGCCAGGACTTCGTTTCTGGAGTACAGACCATGTCGTCGAGCTACGCAAACGTCATGCAGGGCGGTAATGGCCAGGTGCAAGGAATCGGTGCGCCGAGCACTGGTGTTGTCACGACGGGTGTTGTTGGAAACGAGAACTTGAAGTTCGTGGGCGGGCAGAGGAAGCGTGAGGTCGAGGCGAGAAGTATGATACAGATGCGATGGGCGCAGGACGTGGTCGAGGAGGCAGACTTCCAGATGCTGGCGTGCGATAGGAGTTCGTGCTCAGCCGATGAGCCTAGGGTTTAGTGTGCGTGGGTTTAGTACATAATTCCTGTCTTCATGTCAAATCAATCAACAGAGTCCGACCATCGCAAAACATTTCCTTGACGCGCTCCTTGTGCTGTTGATCCTGTTGGCGCACTGCCGCCATGTCACTCATCCGTCACTGCAATGAGGAACAAAAGTGTGGTTTTGGTCGTAATGTTCATTTGACTGGTATTGTGAAGGTCGTCCCATTGCTAATCGTGGTTGCAATGTCGTCTCCCAAATCCTTCACCCCGTAAATGCATTTTCGCCGTGCCCGTAAACCCATGAATGTGATCGAAAGCAGGAAAAGAGACACCTCACATGACGACACCGGAGTTGGAGGCGATACGCTGGATGCTGTTAGTGTTGATTCTTTTGGGGGCGGGTGCACACGTACCGGCCACAGCTCAGCGGCCTCCTTTGCGACGGGTCCAGTGATGGCGGAGCCCTTCATTTCACCCTTGGGGTTGACAATGACACCGGCGTTGTCCTCGAAGTACAGGTAGATACCGTCTGCTCGCCTCCATGGCTTGCTCTGGCGGACAATGACGGCGGGCATGACCTTCTTCCTCAGCTCGGGCTTTCCCTTCTTGACGGTCGCCATGACCATGTCACCGGCACCACCAGCGGGCAGGCGGTTAAGACGCGCACCGATACCCTTGACGGAGATGATGTACAGGTTGCGGGCACCGGAGTTGTCGCAGCAGTTCATGACGGCGCCGCTGTGCATCTATTAGCCTGTATTCCCTGTGTGCCTTGTATGCGTGTTCGCGAACGGAAAGGTTTTCGGCGGAGCGATCGCATCGGGGTCAAACGTACACTGGCAGACCAAGAGTCATCTTGAGCTTGTTACCGGAGGTAGAACCTCGACTGCACACACGTTAGCCGGCATTCCTCTGCATGACAGCCTCAAACTGCCCAATCTGTCGCTGAGGACTACGTACCCGCGCTTTCCAGACATTTTGGTAGATTATCGGGGGGATATTCGATTTGGGCGGGTTTCGGGTGCGTCGTCGCTGGAGTTGTCGTGAGCGTCGTGAAGTTCGGCAAGTGGGTTGGCAACGACGAAATTCGTGTGGGCGCACGGACCCCGCTAGCGTCATCTTTTGCTTCTCGAGACCAACAACACCAAGACTGCTCACACTACATTTGGGGATGCCCATACCTCCAAATATAGGCTTGCGCTGTCATATTTCAGTGTCTTTACGAATCATGATCTCTACGTGTTCCCTTCCGTTCGTGGACTTGTCGTGGCTGCGAGCATGACCTGTTCAAAAACCACGAAATCCGCCATGCTTTGAAGCGAAAGGAGCTGCAAACACTCAGACTGTGCTTTGACTGGTGCCAACATATGCCCGTTCGAAACAAGAAATATGGAAATCTACCATTCATCGAGAATCTCCTCAGTCAATGGGCCAGCGCGACATCCTGACAGCGCGAGCTGCACTTTCTTGTCAGGATCGAAGCGACCAGACAACCGAAAAAAAGTCCGTCACAGGTCAAAGTTGGAACAGATGCATGCATTAAACAGAAACCTACCTCAGGTCTCCAAGTTCACCTGTAGTCCACAACTTTAGCCCCTCTTCTTTGATCTCTCAAGAACTCGGTTCTGAAGGTGGGTGGTCAAATGAAGTCGAAAGCGCGACACATCCTTGACATGAGCCCGTCTTGATACCGAGATGTTACGCGGATTGAGCAGCTCAAAGTCAAGCTGTTTGGTAAAGACATATCGCAGGAGCAGGATGCTGCATGAGCGAATGTGATAGCTAGTCTGATGCACCTGACTCAGACGTTTCGTCCCTTGTCTTGGCAGCAAGTCTGTTGGCGGAGACTGAGAAAACATTGCTATGGGCACTCGATTCATCCGATCATCTATCCGCGAAGTTTCGGTTGTCAGTTGGCGGTGTCGCGCAATGATAGACCGAGGGTTGAACACGCGTTGACCTGCCGGCACAAACAGGGAACATCTAAACCCTGGAAGTATGCTCTGCGGAGAACATGCTAATCTTGTTCGCGTAAGGCCGGCGAAGCAACAACGTGAACGACCACTCAGAAACCCCGAGACTTGCTAGGACCATAAGCCTGGTCAATTCATGACATGAAAAGCAACGTTGGAGCTTAGACGTTGCATCCCGCTCGTCATCACAACAAGCTCGACCCCGCAAGCCCCCGCAAAGCACCCAGGCACTACCGAAATTGGGCCCGACCGAACTCGACCGAGGAATTCAATCCGCCAAACCCCGGAAAGGGATCAAGGCCGCACCACGCCCTTCGTATTAAATCACGACGGGACTAGGGCTGCGAGATTTTGCGAAGCGACAAGCGATTGTACATGCCGATGACGATGAGTACCACCGTCAGAATCAGCCCCACGGTCCGATTGAAAAGCCACAGAGGTATAAAGAGCTCTGCAGAGGATACCAAGATGTATCAAGCGTTCCTTGGCCATCATCATGAAGCCTCAAGCACTTCTTGCGTATGGCGCTGTGGCTCTCGCCCAGCAAGTCTACGTTCCTGCTGAAGGGCCTGTCTCGCGACCGCAATGCTCGGCAAATCAAACATATGCGACTGCACTGCCCTCGTATACCTTCCGAGAGTTCAGCTTCACACAGACCGAGACTGTTCGTACAGCAACATCTGCCCCAGCTCCCACTACCACTACTACCTATGCACCACCGTACGCGTCGCTCAGTAGCTTGGTGCCAAATCTGACGACAACACAATGGGGCAACTGGAACTCAAATGCCACCGCATCACCGACCGACTTGGGGAACCCATACGGAAACGCATCCTGGACAGCTCTCTGGACGACCGTGCCATGGGTCAACTTCACGACCGGGATGTACTCTACAACAGTTGAACCGACGCCAGTACCGACCAGCGAGCTCATTCTGCCACCACCTGAGCCACTGGTACCCCAGCAATGCTACTCCTTCCCTGCAGACTTCATGCTTGGCGTGGCGGCATCAGCTGTCCAAATCGAGGGAGCCGTCGCAGATGAGGGACGGACACCCGTTCACAACGACGTTGCTGCCTTGAACAACCCGGGCCAAGCGCCGAACTGGATCGCGAACGAACACTACTACTTGTACAAGCAAGACATCGAACGAATTGCTGCCATGGGCATCAAGTATTACAGATTCTCCATTCCTTGGACTCGAATTCTGCCGTTCATCTTACCAGGCACACCAGTCAACAAGCAAGGTCTCTCGCACTACGACGATCTTATCAACTTCGTCTTGGAAAAAGGCATGCATCCCGCTGTCATGCTTTACCACAACGACTCTCCTTTCCAATATTACAACAACATCAGCGATGTCTTTATCAAGCCCGGAACTGGAGGCATTGGCTACCTGGACTCTTGTTTCCAATGTAGCTACAAGAATGTGTCGTGGGAGGATGCTTTCGTCGAATACGGAAAGATTGTCATGACACATTTTGCTGACCGTGTGCCAATCTGGTGGACCTTCAACGAGCCTCTCCTGGGTGCGCGGAACGGAAAATCTATCGATGCTGTCATCAAAGCTCATGCGAGACTCTACCACTTCTACCACGATGACATTGGTGGAACTGGAAAGATGTCGCTCACATTCAACGACAACTTTGGCGTCCCACGCAATCCAGGTGACCCCGCTGACGTTGACGCTGCCAATCACTTCAACTCCTTCCAGCTAGCTACCTTTGCCAACCCTATCTTCTTAGGAACAGACTACCCGGAATCATTCAAGAGTAGTGTTGATGACTACGTACCATTGAGCCGAGAAGATCTACAATACATCAACGGCACTGCAGACTTCTTCTCGATCCAACCGTACACTGCGACAGTAGTCAGCCCGCCGCCGAATGACACCATCGCTGACTGCGCTGCCAACATCACTCATCCCCTCCGACCTTACTGCGTAACTCAGAGCACTCTCACCACCACTGGCTGGGACATCGGATACCGCAGTCAATCATATGTCTATCTGACACCCAGCTATTTCCGCACCTACCTGAATTATCTCTGGAACACATGGCGTTCTCCGGTGGCCGTCACTGAATTCGGCTTCCCTGTTTTCGCCGAGGCGCAAAAAGAGCAAGCAGACCAGGAGTTCGACAGCCCAAGGAGCTGGTACTACCAGACGTATCTGAACGAAGGCCTGAAGGCGATTTGGGAAGACGGTGTCAATTTCATCGGCGCGTTTGCTTGGTCGTGGGCCGACAACTGGGAGTTTGGTGACTACGACCAGCAGTTTGGTATTCAGACTGTCAATCGCACGACACAAGTGCGAAGGTACAAGAAGAGTTTCTTTGATTACGTCGACTTTATCGAGAGTAGGAGACAGGCGGCGTAGGTACTGTAACATGTCTGAGCACGTTTGTATATGCAAAAGTCGTATCAATAGTGCGTAGATCCAGAGCTACCCAGCAATGTATGCTCACAGTCTCTAAAGACGACTCACAAATCCACTTCGATCCATCTTGACCAAGTACTCTGGTCCAATGTCCTCAACCTTTGTCACACCGGCAAGTCCCATACACAACTTGAACTCATCGCTCAGCAACCTCAGCGCCAATTCAACACCTTCTTGCCCTTTGTATGCCAATCCCCAAAGTATCGGCCTGCCAACCCAGACGAAGTCCGCACCCAGCGCGAGTGCTTTGAATACGTCCGTTCCGTGTCTGATTCCTCCGTCAACGTGTACAGGAATTTTCTTCCCGGCTTGTGAATGCACAGCAGCAACGACTTCAGGCAACGCATCGATGGTAGCCAACGCGCCGTTGAGCTGTCTTCCACCGTGGTTCGATACAACGATACCATCGACGCCGTGGTGGCAGGCTAATAGTGCGTCTTCTCCTGTAGCTACGCCTTTCACCCAAACTTCCATCTCGGGGTGACATTGTTCTTTGAGCCAGGCGATATCGCGTTCCCAGCATAATGTCGGGTTGGGTGCGTGCGTATGGAAGGAGATTGGACCTTTTGGCGGCTGTCTCTTGTTGGCGTCAGTGGCACTGGGTGTCTCGCTCCTCTTGCGCGACTCGTTCGCTTCCGTGTCTGGTGAGGTGATCTTCTCTTCGACCTTCACACCCTCGTCGTGTTTCTCGTCGCGGTTGAAGTTTGCTACTTTGAGGTGTTTCGGCAGCTTGAACTGGTTCCTTATCTCTAAGTTCCGGCGTCCGAGGACTGGGGTATCGACCGTGAGCATAACAGCTTTGTAGCCGGCTTTCTTGGCGCGTTGGATGAGCTTCTGGCTTTGGGTGCGCTCTTCGAAGAGGTAGAGTTGTAGTGCTCCTGGGTGGTCGCCCAATGCGCCTTTCACGTCTTCAAGGCTGGTTGTGCTGAAGCTGCTCAGGCCCATTACAATATCCTTGTTGGCACATGCGCGTGCGGTCGCCAGTTCACCGTCGTCGTGTGCGAGACATTGCATAGCCGTTGGTGCGACGCCGAGGGGTATGCTGTTCTTGTGCCCGAAAACGTTTACGGTCGTGTCGATAGCGGAGATGTCGCGAAGCACGCGTGGCCGAATGCGATACTTCTGGTATGCGTCAATGTTCTCGCGGAGCGTCGACCCGGAGTCTGCACCCTCATTGTAGTAGTCGCGTGTCTGCTTGTCCATGCGCTCTGCGGCAAGCTTCTCGAGTTCGCCGATGGTGAGGCAGTTCAGATCGTGGGGGGTCTTCGTGTCCGTCATTTTGATCCGTGTGGTAAGACAAGACGATGCGACGGGTCGTGATGCGATGCGAGTGTATATGGGCCTCTGGGGAGGACGACGAATTCGTCGGATATTGAAGGAGACCAGGGATCAGCCATGTTGTTCATTGCTTCGGCAAACCTATCTCTAATTCGGCTATAAGGTTGATGATGACGGCGACGATGTAGCGTGGGAGCTATGGCTTGCCGATCTCGGCTCGACGCGTCAATTTCCCGTTCGTGCGAACGTGGGGTGTTGCGCGTCCAACACTCCACGACGAGAAATCGTACATTGCCAGATGGACTCACAAGAAACGTTCGCTTCGAATTATACCATCTCACAGTCAAGCGAATGTGCCAACTGGGAGTCTTCATGGATCCGGCAAAGTCATTGAGGGAGTGTATCTAAAGTAAGGTGAACACGAGACGACTAAGGAACAGCAGAAATAAACATAGGAAATCTATCGCGAAGACTAAGAAAGACCAACAAGAAACACAAGACAAAGGAACCCAACAGCAACCTGAGCGGTCGTCGTTCACATCTAGCACTCACATCCAGAACATGCTAGCTCTATCAAGCAGACTCGGGTTCCACGGATTGAGCCATGTCCTGCCATCTAGAGTCTTCGGCTTCGTACCGTAGTGCTTACCCCATATGGACTCAGTGGTGGAGATGTCGTGCGCCAACACCTTTTTCGCTTCATCGATCGTTTCCTGAGTAGGGCGCTTCTGTTTACCCTTCTCGTCTTTCTCCATGGGAATGTTGAGAGTCGGCTTCATTTCGGGATCAAGGTTCCAGGCGCGAAGATAGACACGACCTCGCTCGCACAAACGATCCGCTAGATAGGCAGGCGCAGCGTACGAGACACCTGTCGTCGCACGGCCGAAGGCATAGCAGAGCATCATTGTCAACTCGGGAAGACGCTTCTGACCAAGTTTCATGCCGTCCTCCAGTACGTGGTAATGCGCCGATCGAGCCGTTCCCTTGATGGCTTTATGCGATTGGAGAAAGTAGTTGAACGGAACAGGGTTCGTGACCACGTCGGTGACGAGAAGTCCAGGTTGCAAATTTCCATTGATGCCATTCGGGATTTTGTCGCCACCAACGTTCAGGCTCTTCTCAGTGTATGTCTGCTTCTCTTCTGTTGCGTAGAAGCGTGTGTGGTGACGCTTGCCGCAGACGACGAAAGTCAAGGTCAGGTCTCGGGTGCATAAATCCTTGTAAGCCCTCTTGATGGTCTGAATCTCTTCGTCGATGCAAGATTGGAATTGGCTTTCGCTGATACCATCTCGAAAGAAGATCATATTGCCAGGCCATTGCTTGTAATCGGGCTTTGCCATGGATGAGTTGTAGAGTGCCTGCCACCCTCGAAGACGTTCCTGAACCATCGAATACATGTGATCGTTGTCGATGTTCTGCTCTAGTTAGCCAGTTGATACGGGTCTTATATACAGGCTGCACTTACCTCTTGGCCGCCGCGTTGCAGCCTCATGGAGCCAGGGCATGGCATGAAGGCAGAGTCGTTGCTGCCGACAAGACAAGCGATACTTGGGCTTCCTTCCTTACCACCACCACCGCAGTGGGCGATATCTGCACCGATCACGATCGTGTTCTTTCTTGTCTCCAGGCTCAAGATCTTGTTGAAGTCCGCCGGACTGAAATGATGGTTATCTCCGCCGAATCGCATGTTCACTTTGAGGGCGAGGTTCGACAGGAACTGGTCTGGCTTGGCCTGTAGAAACTTGGAGCCGACTGCCAAGAGGACGTTTCTACCGCCAAAGTCTGCTATCCTTTTGACCATTGCATAGGTTTCGTAGCTCTTTTCTGGGATGAGGATGAAGCCGCAATCGTTAGGGCCGGAGACATGCTTGTTGAGGAACCTCCTCACGATTTCCTCAGAGTTATGGCCGGCCTCTTCTTTCGGGAAGAGTGAGCCCTCGTTACAGATATGGTCGCTGTGGTCAGTAGGTTTTCCCTCTTCGTCATACTTGAGACCATCTTCAAATTGAAGACCATGGGCCTTCAGGCGCTTGGCGAGGGCCGAGTAGACGTCTATAACTTTAGCTTTCTTGTTGCCAAAGCAGTTCGGCATTGTCAGCATCCAGAGGTCCTTGAACTTTGCTGGGGCGGCGAACACAACATCCTGCAAGTCCCAGGATCCAAGCTTCGGAATCTTTTCGGGGGACGACGCACCGTATGACAGTTTCGGCTGGGGAAGTTGGATAGCGGGAACTTCGATAAGTTCGTCACCAACTTCGAAACCTACTGAGGTCCATACGGCTGTTAGCGGATTTAGATGAATATGATCGGAAAGTAAATCACTTACCAGCGGCTGCTGGCCATCGCTACCAACCCTAACGCCCATAATATCAAGCCCCTCTTCTTCAAGTAGACCAACGTTCTCGGCGGGTAGGCGTAATGCATGCCTGATCATCTCGCTGGTGTGCATGTTGTTCAACGTTGTCTTGATGACTTGTCCCGGTATGATCTGAAGTAAGCAAGCAGGTATCCATAGCGCACCTTGCGCGCTTTGGGATCGCATCAGCCCATCTTCTGGCGGTGAATTATCCATCTTCTTGGTCTTGACAAGTTTTCCAACGTTGATGCAATACATCTCAGGTGATGATTGAGCAGTCCCGGCCGGAAATTGCACCTTTGCGTCTGACGTCTGGTTAGTGCAAGGAAAACATCTAATGGCTAGTAAACTTACGGTCCGTAAAGTATTTGAGAACGGTAGTTCCTCTGTTGGTAGGTTTCGTTTTCCTAGGTTCGTCCTCCACTTTATCCGCCAGCTCATAGAACTTCTGCTGGTGAGCATAGTATGGCCCGATCTGAGTGAAGATCTTTAGTCGAGCTGCATCGGAGTTGTAGTCGACGTCACTGCCAACGTAGTTCGATCTTTGGTACCGGATCTTCACTGTCGCTCCGTGCAACAGCTGACTAGCGTAGGCACGAGCATGCTCGTCAGTGCCAATCTTCTTGATGAATTCAGAGATTGTTACAGGCGGCAAGAAAGCGGAAGTTACTGGGTTGATGTTGAGGAGAGTTGTGTCAGCGCCAGGACGAATCGAAGTGAAGTAGCCGCGACCTGCTAGTAAGCCTCTCATCTCCTTATAACCATTGGAAACATAGAACTTGTTCGCTCCGACTCGGCTGACCTTCTTCTCTGTTGTAGCTTGGCGGTTTTCAATGCATTGAGCTACATTGGCATTGAGAGCACGGATGTATTCAGGCAATGACACGAGATGGTTCGTTCGGAGTGCGTTCTCGATATCGCTAAGATGGCCGACATAACAGACTTCCGCTTGCATGTTAGTGATAGCCTTGCCGTTCTGTTGAGTGTATGCGAAGGACTGGCTAAGAAACGTGTAGTCCTTCTTGTCGCGACCATGGATTGGTTTAGTCGTCCAGAGTGTCTTGAAGTCAGTCACCCGCTCCACACCGTCAGCCTCGAGTTGTAGCGCATCGGCCTTGACCATGGCCTGGAATGCATCCCGGATCTCGCGACGTTTGTTGTACTCCATCCGAACTCCCTCTCGATTCGTCCGAAAGAAGGTTAAAGAATACACGTGGAGATTCTCGGGTACCTTTCTGACTTTGACGTAGTTGCTCCGGATCATCATTTGGGCGCCGTCATTGGGAGTCTTGCTGGGGTTGGCGGGCTTTTTGCATAGACCATACTTCGGCACAACTGGAGGGTTATCTACAGGTGGTGGAATGTAAGGGCTGTCGATCTTCCCCAGGGATGGGTTGTCTATGGGCGTTCGCTTCGGTTTGTTCGCTGGCTTGGGTCCCATTTTAGCCTCTCTCGTGGTAGACGATTAGGAAGTAAGTGGAACCGTGCGAATGTGTGTCTATAACTCAAGAAGAGGTGGACTATGGGGCTATGATATATGCCATCTTGGTTGCTGTTCAGCGGTCGAGCAAACAGATTGTGCCCCCCAAGCGGCAAGCTTGATCAAGAAACAATACATGTGCATCCAAATAACTCGACAATATGCTCGCTACAAGCGGTGTTCGATAGACAATGTCGACGTTCGGGTGGTCTGTCGGCCACCAAAGCCAGTGCAAGCCATACGTTGGATCGCACGCAAAGATATTGGTCTGCCAAAAAGGCTCGGAGTATGGATTGTATGAGCTGAACTGTGGGTGTGGAAATGCCCCAGGCTCGGATCGCTCTCTGGGCTATCATAAGTAACGCCATGCACTGGTCTGATGCTCATGACCAAGATGATTGACACCTACTGCCAGCGGCAACACGTTCGTTTCGCTCAGGGCTTAGTAGCACCTTGCCGTTAACACCAAGACTCCCGACAGAGACATCATCGACTGAATGAATATTGAGTGCTGTTCTGTTATTTTGGAGTCCACCGTGATCTTCAAGCATCGACAAAAGGTCTTCGCAGCCTGCCCACATACCCAAGGCTTTTGAGAACAGGGTCGTTGCCTATGAACCTGACAGACATGACACCCTCCCATATCGTCCAATCGCGAAATGCAATATGAATGTCAGAGGAGAGCGCACGAGTGTTCGTCCGTATGTTTGTCGCACAAGGAAAGCGAGGCACACTTTCCTCACTCAGAGAGGTCTGATACCTAGGTACGATCGATGTCAGGCATCCCAAGGGCTAAACCGCGCGGAAGTCTGCGACTTTTGTCAGCACACTCATATATCTGAACCAAGGCAATAGCCCAAGAAAAGGGCGCATATCGAACATAGTGGCCCTGCGTCGCGTGTAGTCTCACCGTAGTCGTGCATCTCGCGTGTTGATGGCTCGCGGCCGACGGCGCGAAAGTGGGTCCGGTCAATCGCGTCATGCTCTGATTGGTCAATTACCGGGGCCCACCAGATTGCAACCCACCCGCTTTGTAATCCAGGCCGTAATCACCGCCAGTCGTGTAACCATGCGAGTAGAATCGGGTCCGCTTCGGGATGAACGGTGGAGTGCTGATGCCAAGTGGAGCGTAGTGAGCTTGATGAAGAACGGAGCGATGAGACTGGGAGAAGGTGCGAGATAGACAGAAGCGGAACATAAATAGTCGACTACCCCGCCAGGGCAAGTACTAGCATCAATCAACTTCATCAACTTCGTCAACAAGAAAGTGAAACTGCTATTATCCTCACCCTTTCAACACTTCCTTCAAATCCCAAACTACCACCCAACATGGCTCTCTCATTCCACAAGGTCGCCATCGCTCCCGTCATCACGGGCCTCAAGAACGCCCATTTCTTCATCAACAAAGGCTACGAGCACGCCAAAGCCAGCGACCCCAATGACTTTCTCACTGCGTCCATCCACCCGGACATGAAGGACTTCCGCTACCAAGTCTACCGTTTCACCGACGCCGCCAAGTTCATTCCTTCTCGCGTGAACCCTGCCTTGGAAGGCATGACGCTGCCCGACGAAGAGCAGACCTTCCCTGAGCTATTAGCTCGCGTCGAGAAGACTATCAAGTATCTTGAGGGCTTCTCGGAGAAGGACTTCGAGGGTAAGCATGATGACGAGGTTGTCGTCAAGTTCGGCGGTGTCAAGCAGATGAGGCTGCCGGCGCTGGATTATGTCACAAAGTTTGCGCATCCGAACATGTGGTAAGTGAAGATTCGCTTGAGGGTTCAGGCTCGTGATGAGGTTTTGCTGATGTTTGTAGGTTCCACATCGTGACTGCGTATGACATACTGAGGATGAAGGGCGTTGATGTTGGAAAGATGGATTTCTTGAACGGTACGGGCGCCATCAAGATCGAGGACGTTTCGCAGTAGTGGAGCTGGACTTAGATGTATGGCCATGCGCTGAAAGCGATGGGTCAGTCCGCGCAAAAACATAGTATCGCGCTAGCAATGAAGATGAATTATATAAGTCGCTTTCTTCCACTACGTTCTTCACCCTGGATCTTCAGTCGACGACTATATCAGCGACAAGTGCATCCATCGCCGAGCTATGCGTGCTTGCATTCGCCGGAGTGACCCATGGCCCTCCCCAGTTCACGCTGAATACAGGTAAACCGTCAACCGTCACCGCTCTATCCCGTTCCCAAATAGACGCCGCATTTACGTGGATAGCGTTTGCGAACACCTTTTCCGGTGCCACAGTATGAAGTTTGACCAGATTACGCATGAAAATGCCCTTGAACTGGGCGCCATCGGCACCACAGTTCGGCTCGCATTCGTCGTGTAGAACGCCATTTTCGTCCGAAAGCGCGACAAGTGCCGCATTCGCGATTCCCGATGCGAGAACGAGGTATGCGGAGTGGGGTGAGCTTGAAGCTTGGTAAAGTTCGACAAAACATCCCAAGATTACACCCTGGTTGTATGACCAAACAGTCTTGTTGTTATTGGCACAATCCTCCGTCAATCCATCGTTGATGGTACCACCTTCGTTGATCATACCACTTCCAACGAACCAATTCAGACTTTTCTCCGCCCAATACAAGTACAGAGTCTTCTTTTTATCGTCGTGGACGCGGTTGGCCAAATGCGCAGCTGTACTGAAGAAGAGCTCATTAGCGATCGCGTTTACGTAGTCCCTTTCCCAATTCCAGTATATACCGCCATAAGAGCAGTAAGTACCCCAGGTGCGCGATACAGCGAGGAATATGCCTTCCGCGAGGGTGAGATAAGCGGCATCGGCGGTGACGTCGTATGCATTGATCCAGGCTAACGCCCACCAGAGATCATCGTCGTAGTAGCCGTCCAGCCAGTCATGAGAATCTGGCCTGGTGGGATAGGACCCCCCATTATCGTACCAGCCAAGCGGATAGAATATGTGAGGCTCGTTGGTATCCGGATCGAGTATCTTTGTGTAACCAGTCTGATGGCAAGTCGTGTTGCCGACAGTTGGTGTTGTGCTATAAGCACATAGCTCATCAATACTCGCGTCTGGATTTTTGATCGGCGCCTTTAGCAACGCAGTCGCAAAGACATTGCTTGCCAGGTCCTGCAATTCTTCATCTTCAGTATCTGATTTCGCGTAGTCGCCAATCATTGTCATGATATTCGCACCATTCCACCACCCAGTCGACTCCCATAGGCCGGTAGTTGTGTTATACCACAATTGTAGAGCTTCAAGCGCGAGTTTTGTGCGCCCCTTGGGATCGAATACGTCGTTGCTGTCGCTTTGCGCAGATGCTTTAGTAATGAACATAAGGCTGGGAAGGAGCAGATGGAGTAAGGATGTGGAAAGCATGGCGAATGCGGACTTTAGAAGCCGTACACCTTGAGGCTACGCGAAAGCGATGATACAAAACAATATTCCAGACGATGTTCAGGCTATGAACAACGTTTGAATAGTAAGCCAATATGGGCGGGGCTTGCAAGTACCCTCCGTCGAAGTCCGAGAACGGCAACACCCGCATGCGCTAATGTACTTGCAAGAGCGAGCATACACAGGGTAAGCCGCGAAAGGCGGACGCTGCGCCTATTCTCGTGAAAGAAGATCCATGTGGTCTTACCTCTGCGCGAGCAACGGTACCTGCTTTCCATCAAGCTGGTGTACGCGTTCTGTTGTTTGCACATCCAGAGGTGCTGATAATTGATTGGAGAAAAGTAAACGCGTCGAATGTACCGTGCACAGCGTATATGCGACCCATCCGAGTTGGATTCCGATGGCACGCCATATGCGCATGATGGAGTTTCGCACGGGAGCAGTACTTTGAAGGTCTTGGCGTCAAAGCAGCTCGAAGCATAAAATAGGGCTTTGAAGTAACGCGAATATGCGACCCAAAACTCAATAAAGGTGGTAAGACAACCTGGGTAATGTGCCTTGCATGTTTCGAGAAGCCAACTGCTTGTATAACACGGTGCAGGCAGCTTGAGGTACCCGTGACGAATACCCCGCTACCGACCACCTGGGGATCGACCAGACTAGACTAGCTGATGCCTGCCATCGCACCCATCGATCTTGACTAGAAATGGTCTGTGGAATCCCAGCAGTAGATTGCTTCTTCGCAATGGGGATCCGACCGATGCGTGGGATGTGAGTGTCACAGCAGGTACACCCAACGATCTGGGTTTGCACTACCACCCAGGTAACGTTCCGCCTGCATGCTAGTAATCCGTCGCGGGCATATAGGTTCCCGGTCGCACGTTCGCATTTGTTGTTTCGCCCTTGATACTCTGTCTTTGGCCGCTGCACATACTTAAGCGATCAAAATGTCATTGCCCAGATCTTTAACCTCTTCCACCCAACAGTTGCCGGCACCAGGTCCAGCTGAGTCCTTGAAACGCCAAATAGCCTCCAACACGCGCTTGGACGTGTGAAGATAGCCCCAGAACATCTGCCCATAGAGTTCATCTAGTGTGTTCATGATCCACTCGCGCTGACTAGGGTCCTCCGACTCGGCACCAGCAAGGAACAATGGCCAACAGATAGATTTGAAGAGTGCATCTCCAGGCTCGAGATGCGAAATGTGGTTGACGACGTCGTCGGCGAGAGCGGTGAGGCTGACGAGGGCTGTGCCACTCGCGGGATCGAGAAGAGGGTTTGTGGAAGGTAGTACGCGAGCGAGATAAATGCAGACTGCCGATCGATGTGCCGACGCTATCCGAATTCGTTTCTGTATGTCATCGAACGGCGATGCACGCTCAAACTCAAAAGACCAGGCGATGGGATCGAAGTCGAGCGCTCGTTGCAGGAGTACTCCCACCTGCTCTTGGAGATATATGGGCGTGGTGGTCTCAGAAGGCGACCCATGACTATCCGGTAATGCGAAAGATTCGAGCATTACACGCAATAACGGTCCAGGGCAGGAAAGGTAGTTATTCGTTTCCGCGTAACGAAGTATCGGGTCCAACTCGATGGTTTCCGGGATCAACGCGGGAAGCGTCGTGAAGCTGAAAGTCGATCCGAGGATATGAAATACGAGGAAGTCTGAAAGAATCGTCTGGCGAAGTCTACTCATCGGTCGCTGTATATACTCTGGTTCACCCAGAAGTTTGATGAGCTTCAGCGCACCGTCCATATGCACTTTCCACTTATCTCTGCCCGACTCTACCAGAGCATAGTTGACAAACAGCAGGATAGTGATCAATATGAGGTCAATGTTCGAGGTGTTCACACAAGTCACGCTCTTCGCGAGTAAGGAGAGCGCTTGCTGCTTCGCCACGAGTGCGTCTCTATAAGACGACTTCAGCGGACCTCCAAACCGGCTCACAGCTTGGTAATATGCCATTACAGTCGGACTCCGCTCGCCTTGGTAAGCTGACTGGCCCATGGGGTTGCGGGTAATATTGAAGACGTGAAACGCCGAGTTTGCGACAATGATCTGCAAGAGCAGCGGGTAGGCAGAGGTCGCGGGGATAAGGTCGCGGATGGGATTCTGCCCAGGCTCATCGTACACAACCATGACTTCGCACAGCTGTGTTGCAAAGTGGTAGAGATAGTATCGCGAGTTGCGATCGAGATCGTTGACCAAAGGGTCTGTCATCTGTCGGTGCACGCCGGCAGTCATCGCCATCTTCTGATCTTGTTCCACTGCCGACATCCGGGCGAACTCTGGAACCGATTTCGCGGGTACGATTTCATATTCGGTTTCGGGGTATTGGTGTTGTTGCGATGAGCCCTCGTGCTCCCAAACCAACCTCGGCGGTACGTCGTGAGTCTTGGCTGCCCCTTCCGTCGCAACTGCAACACCACCAGCATCGTGCTCCATCTTCTCCTCATACCCCTTCCCCATCATCTTGCCCCGGCTCGCAACCCCGCGATTCCACACAAACAACTTGCCATAACCCAGACATTCCGTCCCGGCTGACAAACATTTCTGGCAGCTTGGCAGCGACCGGTCGCACCTCCATCGTCGCTTCCGGCAATTGTGGCACGCTTTGGTCGGAAGATTGAAGGGCGTCACGCTCATTGGATGGTCGCCATGCGAGATGTGTAGACGGTTGACTGTATTGAGGTGCGTGAGGTTTGGTGGGGTGGAGATCTTTCGCGTTGCTTGTGGCGGTCGAAGGGTCGGGTTCACTGGGTTACTAACGCCCTCAAGACTGATGTGGATGCAGGATTTCGTCACACCTGTCGGACTGCAGCTACAGAAACCGATGTTGACCGAGTGCGCAGCCCGAGGATGGAGCAAGCAAATCGCATGTCTCCGGGCGCTGACAAAGACGGGTTTAGGAGGGGAATTGCGCGCATGGTTCGCTTGACTTGCCGTTCGCCCCAGACCTTGATAGATCCGTCTAGGCTCGATGCAGCAGCCAAGACTCAATCTTTGCATCGACGGTCCACATCGTGACGGCTTTATGCTCAGACGTCACAGTCACCGCTAGGATTTGCCTTTGGCTGTATGCTCTGAGGCTCAGCACCCGAGTAAATGTCTTCCATTACACATAGCAACAATGTCCGCGGTCATTTCGGAGTCCGAAAGTAACATATAGAAAGAATGAGACTGTGATGGAATTGGGTCGTCTTCCAAGTATTTGCCATATCGACTCATTGGACAAAACATCTAGATGGCTTTACGATAACTTTCACTACACCTAAAACCAGCCAGCCCATCACGGGAACCACTACCATGTCCAACGACCCTATGGAGACCACCGCACATACCTCAAGCGACGCGGTACCATCCAACAATTCAGCCCTCATATTAGAGAAGGCTGAAGAAGGACGCCCGCCACAACATGGCGGCTCATACAGCCCATCCGACATCGAGCGATTCGGCCGCGAACGCCCCTCAGCCTTCCGCTCCCTCCCTCACGAATTAGGTTTCTGCTTCGCCCTGTTAGGCTCCATGTTCGTAGCCGAGTACATGATCTCTGGCTTCAACATCCTGCTCCCCGACCTGACCTCCGCTCTCGATATCCCATCCAACGCGCAAACATGGCCAGCCTCCGTCTTCTCGCTGGTGACGGGAGCCTTCCTACTGCCTTTCGGCCGGCTGTCTGATATGTTTGGAGGATACATTGTCTTCAACATCGGGCTGGCATGGTTCTTGATCTGGTCGATCATAGCAGGCTTCTCGCAAAACTATGTCATGCTTATCGTATGTCGAGCGCTGCAGGGTTTCGGTCCTGCGGCCTTCTTGCCTAGCGGTATCATGCTGCTGGGTTCTATCTACCGTCCTGGGCCGCGCAAGAACCTCGTCTTCAGCTTGTACGGTGCTTTTGCGCCAGTTGGCTTCTTTACTGGCATCTTTTTCGCTGGTGTCGCTGCACAGTTCATGAGTTGGGGCTGGTTCTTCTGGATAGGATCGATCATTCTCGCCATCGTGGCCGTTGCGTCGTACCTTTGCATTCCCAACCCGAGAGAAGAGAAAGAGAAGGCGAAACAGGAAGGAAAGGGGGTAAAGATGGATTGGTGGGGCACAGCAACTGTAGTCCCGGGTTTGGTTCTGGTTGTCTTTGCCCTCACGGATGGAAGCCATGCACCACAAGGATGGGCGACACCTTACATCCCCGTCACCTTTGTCATCGGTTGGATCTTGCTGGGTATATTCGTTTACATCGAAGGCTGGATCGCTGAACAGCCTCTCCTACCCGCTGACTTATTCCGTGTCAAGGGCATGAAGCCTCTCGCGCTTGCGCTGTTTTTCCAATACGGCACCTTCGGAATCTTCATCTTCTATGCGAGCTTCTATATCGAACAGGTTGCCGGTGCCAGTCCGCTGCTTACCGCCGCCTGGTTTACACCCATGTGCGTTGGCGGACTGATTTTAGCGACCGTTGGCGGGTTGATTCTGCACCTCCTCCCAGGCCGCATCCTCCTTCTCATCAGCGGCACCGCGTACATTCTATCGACGCTTCTCTTCGCCATTCTCCCTGTCAACTTCAATTACTGGGCCTACATCTTCCCCGCTATGATCTGCGCTACACTCGGTATCGACATTACCTACAACGTCGCCAACATCTTCATCACAACGTCGCTACCAAAAGCGCGTCAGGGACTAGCGGGATCTTTCATGAACTCGTTACTATTCTTGGGTATCGCGGTCTTCCTTTCGTTTGCAGATCTAGCGGTCAGCGAAACGGAGGAGAGAGGACGAAGGAGGAGTTACAAGGTAGCTTTCTGGCTTGCAACTGCACTTTCTGGCGCGGGCTTGATCATCATGTTCTTGGGCGTTAAGATTGGCAAAGCGAAGAGTGATCTGACTCTTGATGAGAGGCAAGAGCTGGAGAACGAGCTGGTGAGAAGGAACACGAATGAGTAAAGTGGACTTATAGATTTCTATTGCCACTACTCCAGCGCTGGAAACTAGAGTCGACATCGTCGCGCAAATCCTGAAATCCATCACCGCGACACCCATCAACGGCCTGTATCCTCCTTACCTGGCGCCGCAGTCTTATACGCCTTACGATAGATCGATGACGCCATCACACGCGGAAGTCCTTCGCTCATGGCAGTATCGTCACGTACAAGGCGGTTTCGCACTTCATGCACGTTCCCGCCACTCGGTATACCACGCTTTCGGCAGAGCGCTGCTGCCCTGTAGTAATCGAGATCGGTGTAGTCTGAGTTACCGTGTAGAGGCTGTAGTGGTACAGCGGTGCGAGCTTGCATTGAGCGCTGGGTCGACAATCGCGAAGGGGATATGGAGATCAAGATCGCTTGGTCGGGTGCAATCCCAGACTGTAGATCGGGCTCTGCTCGGCTTAGGCGTTTGCGCGTGGGGCTGCTAAAGGGTGTTGCTGTAGACGGGTCGGCAGAGGGTAGGAGATCCGGAGTGTATCGGAATTGCGCTATTCGTTGCTCGAATGATGGTAGGGTTGCAGTTGGCAGAGTTTCTCTGATAGGTGAATTCGCGAAGTGCTTGGAAGCGTTGGCTACAGATGCTTGTGTGTTTTCCTTCTCGTGATGATCGGTACAGCGCCCGTGTCCTGTGATTGTGGGAGATGCAGAACCGTCGGATGAACTGTCATCTATCTCGCTAGTGTCGCCGATGTGTTCACCTCCTCGTGTAGCTAGATCGCGGTTTCTGTACGCTCCTGGTGTCCTAGAATGTGGGTGGGTACCTTGAGTGTGCGGCAGTAAGTCCCTGCCGTTATCATCGACCTGATGTCCAGTTGGGTGACCCCAGAGATCGATGCGTCCCGCCCAGTAGTCTTCCAAAACCCTATTTTGTGCCTCGTCTCTGCTTCTCCGGTGTTTCATAGCAGTCTGCATAGCTGGTAGCTCGTCCGCGTCCTCTCCCGTGTAGTCTGGATGGGCCGCGAGGTAGTCTGTTGTATACCTGACGCTGTGAACGTCGGATTTGGGGTTGGGTTTCGACAGCTCCGCGACCATGTGCTCGTCGATCACGCCGGCGTTCCATAGGTGTTGAGCATGTGCGGATAGCAAGGCTTTCTCAGTCGCTGCGTGGCTGTCACCATAGACGGAGCGGCTTGGCTCGACCAGCGTCTCTGGCGCGGCTTCCAGTGTCGGTTTGAGCTTCTTCTTAGGCGGCATTGTTCTAGGGAGAGATAGAGGGAAGGCTGATCCCGATCCGAGTGCGCGTGTGGCCTGGCTTGCCGTGTCCGTAATGATCGATTGGCGGCAAGCGACGTGAGTTCGGGAGACAAACGGGAATGCTGCATGTAGAAAGGTAGCAATAAAATGACGTAGCGGGACAAGACTTGCATAAGTGAAAGGGTCACGTCCACGAAGTTCCAAAGTTGTTTGAGCAACATGTTACGCAATAACAATGGAGAACCGTTCTGTCCACACTGAATGACGACATGTTTCTCGTATTTAGAATGCTCGGCTAAGCTTCACTGATGCCGAAATCGATGTTCAATAGTGGGAGTGGTGGATAGTGCAATATGCGCTGCTGGTAAGTAGTGTTCATGGCTTCAACATTTGGATCTACACAGCCCTAAGGATCGCCGAACATGTCAGCGAGTTCGTAAGTATGCGTACAAATGTCGGGCGGCCATAGCTACGAAGAGGTGATTGTACACGGGGTGTGGCAATAGTGCTGATTAGGATGAGACGACTGTCGAACGAAAGACAGGCCGACTTTCGTCGACGCGACTGATGCTTGCCTTATTGAAACTAAATCGAACGCGTCGCGTCCGCCAACCCGGGTCTCCACCAATTGCCTAATGTCTCGCATTTCATTTTGGCTGTTCTGGCCTCGCTGAGCGATAGGGTGTTTAAATTACTCCAAAAAACTGCCTCGAGTCTTGGCAAGTACTTCGTCGTAGTAGCTCTGGAATGCCAGCCATCCCTTCTCAGGCGTCCCAACCTGCTTGTATGTCTCGGCAGCCTCGCTGTCCGGTATGATCTTGGGCTTGTGTCCACTTCCAGCGGCCGCTGCATCTACAAGGAGTTGTGCTTGACACGTCTTGTCGAGGGAGAGGAACCAGAAAGCTGCTTCGTCGACGGACTTGCCCACGGTGAGGATGCCGTGGTTTTGGAGGATAGCCGCTTTGCCGTCGCCTGCGCAAGTGATCAGCAGCGTGGAGTATGGATGTAGAGGGGGTCATACCTAAGGCATCGGCAATCCTCTCGCCCTCTTCGCTGGCCAGCACGACTCCGCCAAACTGGTTGTATACGCCGTGGCTCTTGTAAAAGCGGATGCTGTCCTGAGTGATCATGTCCAGTTCCCTACCAAAGGCGCTAAAGGCCTTGCCATGTACGCTATGCGCATGACAGGCTGCATGTACGTCTGGCCGTCGCCTGTGTATGGCGCTGTGAATGGCAAAAGCCGCCGCATTGATGGGCTGCTCGCCGTGCACCACCTCGCCTTCCTCGTTCACCAGTATCAGATCCGACACGCGTATCAGGGAGAAATGCGCCGACAATGGGTTGAGCCAGAAATGGTCGGTGAGTATTGGGTCGCGCACGCTGATATGGCCGGCGACACCTTCGTCGAACCCGCGCGAGGCAAAGATGCGATAGGCAGCCGCGAGATGCTGTTTACGGTAGAGGCGTTCGTCTTCGAGGCGTTCAAACGCTGGGTATTTGCGGACTTTGAGGGTCTTGCCCGACTTGGTCCGGCCCATAGCTGCTACTGTCTGGTTGTCATTGCTTTCGGCGTGATCGACCCGCGTGCCTGCCGCAACGGACGCGTGCAGGTCCTTGGACGATGTTGTGAGCGCCCGAGTAATACGTCGTGGATAGAGCCATTGGGGGCGCCGTGTGAATGACCCTGCGACCCGCACAAGTGACGAAGGAAGAAGGCGAGCTGTAGGCATGGTCAGTGCGGTAGGTTAGCAATCTATGCAGTGGAAGAGTACAACGGCTTCCCCGCCGGGTATGACATGACGGATAGTCCGCTGCGCATCCCTGGGAGTCACTGGACGCGATTGGTGAGCTTCGCAAGAGAGGAGAAGATGGGCATCGGAGGTTAGGCCGAGGCTTGATGGGAGATGACATAAGCGGAACTCGCCCAACACTCGCTGACTCTCCAACACCAGAGCATTGTCGACTCTCGACTACGTCGATAGACTGACATTGCTGAAGTCGCCTCACAGCCATCTTTGCGTTTATCTCTTGCAAACAATACGCATTCTTCCGGATGGCACTGGAGAAGAATATGGACGCGACAAAGTGCAAAGCGCCCGTCCATCGGAATGCCACCAAATGACATGGAGGATGACCGCGGAGACAACTGTTGTTTCTGTCACCGATCTGTTGTCTCCCATCTATAATGTCTCACTAACTGGTTTGTCAAGCTGTTATGAGATGAGCGTAGTAAACCCTTCTGCGCCTGCCCTTTCACTCCCAGTCGCGGCCGCGCCTATCGCACAACAACACGCTACTGCTCTACTCCTTCCCTTCTCACCCGCTCACTCACCGCACAAACTCCGTCGCCTCCAGGCAGCTGGGCCCACTTCTATGTCAGACTGGCGCCTGCGCACTATATCATTTCGCCTGCCCCTGCCCTCATCAACGCCCTGCCACGCTTCCACCTCCAACAGCAACCCGAGAATCAGCGCAATCAAACACGGCCAACATGAGGTGCACCTTCTCCCTCTTCTGCGCCTTCCTTGCGCTTCTCGCGCTTTCTCTCGCAGCCCCGGACGCCATCGACACCGACAGCCTAGGTGAGTGAGAAACCAGTCGATAAGCCCGCAATCGCTCTACTGACGTTGAAGAGCAGTCTCCTCCTCCGTTCAAGAAATTCCCCAAGGACCATCGATTGTCGGTACTTCTCCCGCCCCAGCTAGTTCCCAGGTATCATCAGAAGATACCCCGTCCGAAAACGATTTGCTCGCAGAGCTCCACGGCCTCACTAGCACCAACACAACGTTGTCGACTGCCAGCTCCGATGATAACGATGTCACGATCGCCTCCAGCAAGTGGTCCAATCTCAAAGACTGGTATCGAGTTGATGTTCGTTTCGGCCACCAGACAGTAGGAGGCACCCACTCTGGAACCTTCCAACTGGAACGGATGTATGAACGCGTCTACTCAACCCTCAAAAAGTGTAAAAAAGGGTCTACCCTAGACGATTGTTCTATCCGCAACACAGTTTTCAAAGACGGCGACAATGGTTACCGAACAGACTCGTCGATCATTCTCGAGATTGAGCACGAGTACTTCAATCCGGATGTACCAAATCTCCAAGATTTGGGAGTAAGCGCTACCGTACTCTAATTGGTCATATTCAAGCGCTAACACATGTATAGTACCGTATGATGGCTAGATTGTACCAGAAGATGACCGCAGTTCCCGAAAACTGCTTCCTAGTCTCGAACGACAGGAAGGGTCCCTTTAAAGACCATGAGGGTGGTGACAGAGACTTGTACTTTTGCACCATTCCAGCCAGGGCGCTCATCGCCTACCCAATCAACGGAGGTCCAGTTCAGATGGTTTTCAAAGTCAAACTGGAATGGGATCACAAGACAGACAACAACAAATACAACTGCCGACCTTTTACGGACGACGGCGTTGCAGAGTACGGAAGCGTACCGTTTCGCAACGGTTTCAATGAAGAAATCGCCAAAATGCACGGATGGAGAGCAGACCGAGTCGCCACCTGGGTCGACTGTTCCATCAAAGAATGCCTCGAAACTAATGCGAAGCGTGACGGCAAGGAATGGCAGGAGGAATACAAAAATACGTGCTTCCCGCGATGGGAACCGAGAGGGTGCAGCACATTGGATGGGGGTCCCAAGCCTGAATACCACTGTCCTCCCGAATACCAAGGGTCATTTGATTGATTGACCAAGGGTCATTTTAACTTGTTTTCAAATGTCGAGGTCTGGTTGGGCAGCCAAAGGCAGTGATAGTAGTGCCCTCACTATGGTGTAGTTTCAGACAACCAAAAGCAGTAATGAGAATCTCGTTTGCATCAATATTGGTCAGTTCAGGATGCCTCAGGAGTAAATTCTGCCTTACAATTATCAGCTCTACGGGGCAGCCAAATATTGAACAAGCAGAACTTCTGAGACCACGTCGTGGTGTTCATGATTGGTGACTGGTGTTATCTGATTTAGTTGATAAATCATTTGTTTCGATAGCAAGGCTATACTGCCTAGTCACCTCCCAACACAAGCAAACTCTGCACATCCACCATACCGTGTCCACGATCGTACAATAGTTTACGCCCACAATGAAGTGGAAACTCCGCAACGACCATGACTGCGATACTCTTTACACCAGCCTTTTTCAGTAGATGTAGCACCGCACAAAGAGTCTCGCCTGTCGACAGTACATCATCCACGACTACGACCGAGTCAGAGCCGATAATCGCGTTTCGCTCTATCTCGATGCGCTTTCCAATCTTTGCTTGGTTAGGAGCTTGGGAAGAGATATACGATGCGTTCTTCATGACCGAAATGGTAGGTGGCGGAAGCTTGCCAGCCTCGCGAATGGGCACCAGAGGCACGTCTACCAGCGATGCTAATGCCGGTGCAAAGACGAGACCGCCTACCTCGCAACATACAATGGCATCGACGTTGGCCCAGCATCCAGTGAAGTGACTTTGTAGTAGTGATGCGCAAAGAGCAAGGCCACCTGGCTGCTGCGAGATTCCGAGTACATGTCGGAACCGGATGCCCGGCTAGGGGAAGTTTGGGATTGAGCGTACCATATCGGCCAGTCGTTGTAGGTCATTATGCAAGAAGGGAAGTATGGAGGCCTCGGCAAACTCTCGTATGGCGCCGTTTCCTGGTGTGTCGTTGACGAAGGTCGGATTTGGACGATGTCGCGGAGCTGCAGAGTCAGTCGTCTTCTCGGTGCGTACCCCCCGAGCAACCCGTGAGGCTTCGCTGGTATCAACATGGACTTCGATCACTCTGCTCGCCGCCACTAGATGAGAGAATGATGCGACAGGTGCCTCATCTCTCATCCCCGTGATGAACAGAACATCGACATCTGCGCTTGCAGCTTCGTGCACAACTTCAAGAAAGTGTTCTTCCGGCAGTCGGGGTCGTTCCTGGACTTGTTTCTCGTAGAAGGCTGTCAGCGCTGGACGGTGTTGCTCCTTGTATGCGCGATCGTCTAGAAGGCGGCGGAAGTCGTTACCAGTCGCGTCGGCGAACTCGCGTTTCGTGACGTCGCTGATGCCTACAGCCTGCGCGCGAAGACCATGCGTTGAAGAAGAAGCGCTACCGTTAAGTTCAGAGAACACGGCGACCCATTCGCCGGCGCAGTAGTCCTTGCCGGCGCCGTGTTCGCCGGTAACAAGAATGATGAGTTTGGGCAACGGGGGCTTCGGCAACGGACAAGCCCACGCCAACACGTTCCGTGGATCCATCAGGCGTTTGAGACGACCGAGGCGCACGGTATTCGGCCCGAACGCCTTCTCCGCCAGCACTGCATCTCGGGGATCAGGTCCAAGGTCCGCTCCGTACGTGCCCCTGCTTAACGGCAGCAAGCTATCGACAACGTCGTACACCCACTGCACCGAAGCATGCGCAACACGACTGCCATCCTCATCCCGAGGCCACACCCCGGTGATGACGCAAGCGAAATCCCAGTCTCGACACCCGAACGCAGTCGCATCGGGTGCGACCTCGCCAGCCTTCCCACCGCCATGCAGCAGATGGAGGTAACAGAACGGCGAAGGACGAGAATCGACCGCTGAGACTAGGCGACGAGCGATTCTCGACCCTCCAATGTCCTTGAGGAATACGCAGCGCTTGAAAGATGACGTCTTACTGTTGCCATGTCCCCCATGCATCTTAGACATGTACATCTCGGCATCGAACGCTTCTACGCCATCCATGATCTTGTTGTCGCTATCAGTTCCCCATATATCGCCTTCGCGCTTTGGCATGATAGTCATAGGTGATGGGTAAGATGCATCGGCAGGGGTGAACGTTGTGATCCCAAGGTTGAGTCCTCCATTCTCAAAATACAGGTATGCGTCGGCGGAACAGAACTCGCTGCATCCTTTCGCGACTTTCTCGTCGAACTCCCAGAGTCTGCGTTTGGCTTCGGCACTGTCGCTCAGAGGGATTACCCAGTTTCGCGTAGAAAACGAGTGAGCGTGATAGGCGCGAAGTGTTACGCTGAGTACGATACCAAAGTTCGTGCCGGCACCTCGCAGTGCCCAAAGGATATCAGTATCATTCTCTGGAAGACGAGCCTCCTTGGGAAGGTGCTCGCTTGGCACCCGGCCGACATAAAAGATCTCTCCGGAAGCCACACTGATGAGTACGGCGCCGACAATGTTGTCGCAGGTGAGCCCGTACAGCCTTGTAAGATGGCCTATACCACCCTGTAGCCAGAGTCCAGCTCCAACACTTGGGCGAGATCCTAGAGGTACAGTGAGGCCCTCAGCGAGAGTCTTGCTGATGATTGTGTCTGTCTTGCATCCAGCCCCAGCGACTACAAGTGAAGTGAAGGCAATGTCTTGGTCCTCTACATCCCCGACCTTTTTGAGTACATGTACGGAGTCGAAAGCACTCATGTCGATTGCCACCACATTAGATCTGTGGCAATGTGCGCTGTGCCCTCCACCGACAACAGTCAGGCCAAGGCCGTGCTTGAGTGCCCACCGGACGCAATCTTACACCTTCTCAATATTATCTGGCCTGACGATAGCGGAGGGGCGTTGTAGACGAGCTTGCTGGTTCTTCACCGGGTTCTCTTCTAGTATCGGACCCACACGCATCTCCAGTTCCTTCACTTTGTCTGCGTGGTGATTGAAAGCCAGCATGACTTCGGGTGCGGAGAATAGAAGGGTTTCGGGATGGCCGTCATCACAGCGGGCAAGATCACGACATAGCTTTCGCCAGTCTGCTAGAACAGCGTTGTCTTCCTCGGTGTCTTGTATGGTAAAGCCAGCGACAAAAGATGCGAATATATCCAGTGCGTCGTCGTTATCTGCTACACCGACGAAACCGGTGGGATAGGAAGCCGAATGGTGGCAGGCCAAGCCGTCGATGTGAAAAATGCCCTCACGACGGAAGACTGCGACGATTCCATCATCGAGGAGCATTTTCAACGCATGCTAGATGAAACGGTCTTGCGGCTTCATACCGTACATGCTGTGACAAAAGAGAACGATGTCGTACTTCTCGATATCGGCACCACTCGGCGGGCCACGGTCCGGATCGAAACGAGTACGATAGATGACAGGATTAGTCTCCAAGCAAGGAAACGGAGCTTTTGAGGTCGTACCCGTCTTCTCGTGGCCCTGAAGCCAGTTTACCAGCTTCGAAGCAAACAAGACGTTGGGCTCAAAAGCGTTATACTTCCCAATCCTCTTTCGCAGGCTTCTATGTAAATGCCCGAGAATGCTCTTGGGGCCCGGACCAATCTCCAGAACTGAGATCAACTTGTCTAATTGGTGTGCAGGAGCTAGGAGGTAGGATAGTTCTGGGATGATGAAGTCGTGGTAGATCGCCCAACTGGGTCCTTGGACGAAGGCTTCGAAGCCCGCTGCATATTGTTCGTCGGTCAAGGGCTCCCTGGAAGAGGTGAGGGAAGGTTGGATGTTGGCGCTTCGCACTAAGGCTTTCTTGAGATAGTCGAGCGTGGCCATGATAGCTGGCGGCGACGCACGAGTACGCTGAGAATCTTTGCAATGACAGTATTGATACGAGCTTGAGCTGAGTTGGAATGAGCCTGCTACTCGACCAGCCGGGGAGCGAATGGGCTTTGTGCGAACTGCATTGTTTGTGACCACGGTGGTCGCAGCGGCAATACACACGTCTGCTCTGCCTTGATGCACATATCTGCCCGTCGGAGGTATGCGGCACGGCAATGCACGTTTGCTATACGCGGAAAGCTGCTTGATTACCTTGGATACTGTAACACGTGTGAATCGGACGTATTGCTGCATTTTGTTGTTCGATACCCGATAGAATGAGGTGAACGTGTCTCTCGCAAGGAATCTCACAGTTTGCGATCTATCCAATTTTGCGCTCTTAGAGTTACATAGAACGATCAGCAAATGTTTCCACTTGAAGAGTGCCGAGCCCACCAACAACGTTGCGCTCAAGATCTCGAGATGTACAAACCGCATGATCGTGCAATTTGCCGTGTAACATGCGTTGTGCTACGAATTCGGAATTGTTCGAGCTATTGCACAACCCAAATCCAAAGACTGCTGTTCGGTTTTAGCAGCGATGAAGACTGATCGCGAGAGCTCTCTTAGCCCTCCATCATAGGCAAAAATGCTCCACAACTTTCAGCACACACTAACAGCATCGTGATCAGCATCTCTTAGAGACAAGGAGTCCAAAAAAAAAAGAGGGGGCGGCTTCGAAGGTGTGATACACCAAAGGTTTTAGATCCAAAGGATCTATTCCAAAGCTTTGACCAAAGGGCCAATACCAAAGAGGTAGGTGTTAAAGGGGGGGCATACCAAAGGTTCAACCCTTAAGCCCTCAACACCAAACCGGTAACACCAAATTTGACCTCGAAAGATCAACTCCAAAATATTTGTACACCGAAGTGACAACACCAAAGCGTCTGCAGACTGATTCATCGGAGGTTTGAACTCCGGACCTTCAGTGTACTAACAGGCTTTTGAGGGCCTTTGTTAGACTGACGTGATAACCAACTACACCAACGAACCGTTATTGATGAAAGACGGCAAAAATAGTTGCAAATTGTCAGCCACCGTTTTACCTCCTGGAGACGAGCTCAGCCCCTTCGTAGCAAGCCGTACATACGCTGGCGATACGATAGAGAAATTTCTGTGGTGCGGGGCAAGAAGCTGAACCAGTTTTCTTCCGTCGTGGGTCGAAGTGGTTCGCCCCACCAAAGGCTACCATGGTGTGATAGAATGGAGTATAGTCGTAATAGATTCGTTTGACATACGATCGGGTATGCAAACATGTGTGACTAGTCCGAGTATGTTTGTGTTGTTCATCGCGAACCATCAACGAGTTGCCCGACCGAAGTTTGAGCGTTGGGTCTCTGAGGATACCGCTGGACTCACATCCGTAACTACACGCTTGCTTCTGCTTCGAGCTGAAGAGAGCTTACTTGTTCGGAGCGAGTGCTGTCGAGACAGAAATTCGCGTTTGTGGAGGAATCTGCTGCCGCACCAAGAATGCCATTGTTGCCGCAGACTTTTTTGCGCGACTTGACGCTAACAAGATCAATTACCAAGCTCAGTGACGGCTTGGGGGCGGGTAGCTGCCAGCTAGCAAACAGACAGGCGGGCAGTCTGCATCGCGCGACGCGGCTGGAAGCTACCGCTCGGGCGGAAGCTGTAACGTGGCTTGGTACAGCTGGGCGACCAACGGCTTCCGCTGACCGCGCATCGAGCGAGCGTAGTCGACGTAGTGTTGGCTGTTTCGCGCCGGTGGTCGCGATAACAGATCGAACAAGATATGGGGTACTCTGCGCGTGGTGTTGAGTATGTGTGTAGTTGTCGGGGCTGTAGCTGTTCTGGACGCGTCCATGCGTGCCCAGGAGATCGCGGAGCGGGATTAACAACGCCGAAGGTAACACCCCTCCGTGCCCCTACGTCTTCCTCATCGTTCACTCTTCACCATGAGTCCAGTCTTCATGCCGCTGAAGAAGCCAAGCTGCGCGTGAGATTACAGCCAAGGACAAATCGATCGACTCCAGCGCATCTAGGCTGTGGGCTGCAGCACAGTCCCGCTCGAGCAAGCACACGTCAGCTGCACGCGCGCGCCGTTCCTCACGACAAGTACCATGACAAGCACCGTTCCAAGACTGACGCTGTGCGTCCTGCATGAGTCTGGAGACGATGCGAATCCAGCGACGTCCCCGCCGGCCAAGACATCGATTTGTCGCACCTCCGTAGGAGTTCCAGCCACGGGGTAGCGCACTAAGGCCGATCTGGAAACCACAGCCTAAAAGCAGACCACATCTCAAACCTCACATCGCATCTCTAAGGCTGCGACCCTGGCACTTGGCTCCGCTCAGGTATCTACAACTCCACTTGTTCAAGACGCCAAGTGTTGCGATCAAGGCTTGCCCCTTCCAAGCTCATCGCCGAGCCCTGTCAGTCTGGCCCCTTTGCCCCAGACGAACGCTGTGGAGGAGGTCTGCCTAAGGGTCGCATCTTGCTCGTGCGCGCCTGAAAATCCGGCGATCGATGCTCATTGAGGTAGACAACCCCTCGATTCGCCCCTTCGGCCACCTCCTGTATACCGCCGCTACTTGGCAAGTCAGCCTGAACGAGAAGCTATAGGCTTGGTGCTCTAAGCATTACCCAGTTTCCTTCTACCACTGTCAAGGCTTTAGATTTGGGCTTGGCCAGACTTCAAGCAGTCGAAAGGACTTGTGGTACGCGTCAGTGTTCAGAAGATCAGTACTCCAAGACCCATTATTGGGCCCCAGTGTGACAAGTGCATCGTTCACTCAACATGGAGTCGACCTTATGTGCCTCAGGCAGATCGCTCTCTCCACGTGCACTCGAAGAGGAACTCATCCATGACCACGTTGAGGCCTGGACTAATCACGCGGCTCAGGATCGTGGTCACTGACCCACTTGCAGTACCAGAACCATGCATTAGCCCCGGTAACTAAGGACGCTCCCCAGGCTTATCCGACCTTGGCTCCGCATCACAAAAGTTTTGACCCAACATCAAACAGCGGGAGAAGCTTGGCATGGCCATCGAAGGCAAAAGCTCTGCCATGGTATGCTTGCCGCTACTTGGCGTAGCCTCAAGAAAGTTTCATGCCTTGACAGTTATGGTTAATTCATCTTGGCAGGTAACGACGGTGGGCCTGCGATACCACGACTATGGAGACTATGGAGACTCAGTGGTTTGCGTATAAGAAGCCAGTAAACCCACTTCTTCTATTCTCCAGTCCGGTCACTCACTTCATTTCACTACCAACTAGTATTCACTTCTGTCGCCGGGCGACTTCTATCACTTAGTACATTTTTTGATCATCTAATCGTTCATCGAACCTCAATCATCCACAACTACTTTACCACCTAATCGAAAGATCCAACCACCCAACCGACAACATGCTTCCTCAACACGTTCTCTTCGCGCTCGTCGCCACCGTCGCTGCCGTCCCCCTTAACATCAACTTGGGTGCCTACTCGCCTGCCCTGGTAGTCGGTGATGGAGAGATCTCGCTAGGATCCACAGAATCAGCTTCAGAGTTGATGTCTACGCTCGCTTCGGGAGCCGCAGCCAACGCCGGTGGGGAGGGCGCAGCACAAGGTCAGCAAGAACAACCGGCCGCCGAACAGCCCGCAGCTGAAGGCGAGCAAGCTCAAGAACAACCAGCTGAAGGAGAAGCAGCTAAACGATCCAACCTTCGCCGCGCCGTCAACGACATCATCAGCAAGCGTGCTCCCGTCGAGCCCAAGATGGCAGCCGTCGAGGAGGCCATGCAATGGATCAAGCGCGACCTCGCTGGCTTCAACGCTGCTCTCGGCTACGCCAAGGAGGCCCAGAAGGACATGCCCAAGGTCGAGATGGGCACTGAGAACGCCGGTGTCGGTCTTCTCGTCAACCCCGGTGTCAACGTTCCCAAGGACTCTGCCGCCGCTGGCGCCCCTGCTGAGAAGCGCAAGCGCGACGAGGTCGTCGAGGAGGAGGACGCACCCAAGATGACTTTGGTCGCCATCACCGAAGTTTGAGCAACATACCCGACTTTGCATTTCAGCTAGCACATTCTTCTTCCAAAAGACATCACGCGCCATGGGAGGAGAGGTTATACACGACAGTCATGTCACAAGCTCGATCTTGTATGTTCCGAGCGCGAGTTTTCTTTTCAGCAAGCATCAGCAGGATCACGCATACTGCGGACCGGAAGATGAGGAGTTTTGGATAACGGTATTGATGGATGGATGGACGAACAAGGCAATGGAAGATGACATAAAACGTCGCAAGATTTCAATAAAGTACTATTTGATCAGAATCCGCTCCAACATGAAGATGCATTTCTGTGGATTTGGTATGTTGCCTTCTGCTAACATAACAGCATCCCATTTTCTGCGACTCGCATGGCTGCTATTCCACTGCTTCTGACGCAGTAACTCGCATTCCACCGTTCCACAACTCATACCACTGCCACCCATTGACATTCCAAGGTTGCATCCGCATCTCCCGTCTTGAACGTTTGACTCTCGTCGCCATCAGGAATCCACAAAGAATACCGACGTCTGTAGTCTCAAGTCGCATTAAAGTCTCAGTAACGTAACTTACAGCTCTTGGCAACGCCGCGGGTTCAGGGTCCAGGGTCCCGGGTGCGGAGCGTGAAACATTCCCCTGTCGCGTGGTCTGTGCGGTCGGAATGGCCTGGCGAGGCTGGCGGCGGGCTGGAGGAAAACTTCGCTTTTCTCAATGCTGAACTGATGAATTGAATCCTTCGGCTTTTGGAGGTCATAAATTTCAATTATGTGGTGACGCGGCTGCCCAGTGCAGTCTTCATAAGGTTGTTGGCCTAAATCATGTGGAAGTCGCAACGCAAACCGTTTGGCATAGACATTCGGAATTGTTCGCCGAGGCAATGAGAAGAGCGGAATCAGTAATCAGATGTGTGCGATGCATAGCACGGAATGCCTTGGTCTTGGTTGCGTTTCCGCCCTTTCTAAGCCTTTTTCTGGGTGCCATTTGAACGACCAGAGACACTCTACAGAACATAGTAGTCGCTCGAAAGCAATTAATGTAATCATGCCTAAGTTCCCCAAGTGGACTATCAACACACGTGTCTACCGCTTCCAGAATCGCCAACTCTTCGCTTTCTCCCTCTTCTCAGCACTACCGATGACGTTACCAACAACCTTCTGATCCATCTGATCCAACTTGTAGTTCTTGAGACAAAACGTCAACGGCACGATAGGCGCTGCGCAGCAAAGAGCTCCAATGAGTAGGTACCGCATCGTCTCTTGATACGCCCGATTGATAGCAATACGGACGGGGGATCCAGCAGGGTAGGTAGCGTAATCTGCTGCGACTAAGAGGCTACCGTAGATGGTCGAATAATCTGCCAAGTTCTCCGCGGGCAGGTACTGCTGCAGTTTGGCGGGGATGTAGGTCGACCATATGGCACCTGAGATGGCTGATCCTACTGCCCCACCGACTTCCAAGATGGTTAGCCAGACTGTTGTGGCGGCTGCGACTTGTTGATGGGAGGCTGATGCTTGGACAGCGAGTTGGACAGGGACGTTCAGGAAGCCTCCACCTATTCCAATGGCGATTTGGGTGCCGACGAGGGTACCAGTAGAAGCGTCCTCGGTCCGGTATGCCAACATAAGACCCATGCCCATTAGGTAGATGGCTGCGCCCAAGGTTGTGTAGTACTTGTAGTGCGCTGTGTACTTGATGAGAAGTGATACTACAATTGATGAGACGGTCGAAGCGAAGGTGAAGGTTCGTGTGATGTATCCGGCTGTGGAAGGAGATTGGCCCTGGACAATCTGGAGGTAAGAGCTGAAGTATGGGAAGACCGACATGTAAAATGCCACTGTTTCATCCGTTAGCATCGAGCCATAGTATTGTTTGCATGATGCTTACTGAAGTAGAAAAATGCGATCAAGACACCGGCGATGATCGTTCTTTCTTTGAAGAGGTTTGGTGGGAAGAATGCCTTTGGTGCTAACTTTTTGCTCGTCTCCCACAGTGGGAACGCAAGAAGCAGTACGCCGCCGATGACTAGCATGGCGATCATACTTCCATTACTCCACCCACCACTTGCGCCTGGAGCCAGTGTAAGTGGCAGCAAAATGAGTGCTATGGCTGCCGCGAACAATAACAGGCCAGATCCGTCTATGTCGATCCAAATGTTCTTCAGGACCTGGAGTGTGTTGTGCCCGTGGAATGGACTAGGGACATCAAAACCCAATCTCTTTGCACGTCGCTGGTTCATAAAGAGACTAACAGCCAGTGGGATAAAGCAAACCGGAAGAATGATAGCCCAGATACCATATCCCCATCTCCAGGTAGTATTGTTCAGGATCGCTTCTCCTACTTCTGCTCCAGCAAATGTAGTCCAGAGAAAGGGCACGTCGAACAAGGTGGAGAAAAGAGCGCGATTTAGTAGATCCGTAGTATCAGCGACGAAGATCTGTTGCAAAACACCCAGACCGTTGAAACCGGCGGCCCAGAAGATCTGCGCTCCGGCGAAAGTTTGTACATTGTTGGATCCAGCCTGCATACAATACCCGATCGTGTAGAGGAAGATGGTGATGGTAAACGATTCAAGACGTCCAAAGACATCGGCAATCTTTCCCATTGGCGGTTTGATGACCGCTGGAGATAGTTAGTCGCTGTGCTGAGTATGGCGGAACGAGGAACGTACCGGCTACGACACCCTGCACTACATAGATTGTGGAGACGAGTGAATGCAGAGCAAAGGCACTCGTGGCATATGGCGTTAAGAGACTAGTGACCTGGATCTCGAGGGATGTAACATTGGCGATAAGTAAAAGTCTGGACTGGAGTTAGTCTAGAGAAACCTTTCTAATTAAAAGCGATCGTGATGACGTACGTGACGTAGGCGACGATGAGCGAAGTCTTCGTCCACGCCTTGCTCACAGCTTCAATGCGCTTCACACCAGCCTGAGCTGAGTGCTCGCTCGAAGTATCATCGCTTGGCGAGCGCTCGCGGTTGTAGTCGATATCCTTGCCGAAGTTGCCGCGATCAGTCTCGTTGTGAACAACATCGGTCGGGCTTGTCGCCTCTCCAGGCCTCAATGAATGGCGCATGACCGATTCCAATTCCGTAGGAGAATGTCGAAGTTGCAGTATGCGAGATGCATCCAAGATAACGGCACGGCGGAGGGAACTACTTTATCTGATCGGCCCTGCGTCGCAACATTGCTGATGCGCGCAGGCGGCTGGGCTGCCGTGTCGTGCTATTGGTACACTTATTCCTCGCCAAGTGCAGTGGTGGCATGGCGAGAGGCACACACCCACGCGACAGTACCACGAGGAAGTCCGCGGGTCTGTGCAATGACACCATGGCTTGCCCGAGGACCACATGCTTGGGTTTAATAGCCTGCTACTAGCGATAAGGCAGATCTAATCTGATCCGTTCCGGGCGTTGGATGCTTCTTGGCGTGGAATTGTGGTGTCTTGGAGTTCCCGTGTTACGTCAATGCTGAACCGCGAACAAATTTTCTGCTTGGGGTGGCCTGAATAAGTCGATGCTGGCGGTCGGTCACGCCGATGCGCTCACCTCATAAACTTTTCGGCACTGCTACGTCGTTCACACTGCAGCTGTCAGCGCCGAATGGGGTTTCGTCGCGATCTCAGCGCAGTGCAACGCCGCACGAGGCTAACTGGATACGAATCATGTCTCTTTCCGATGACACCTTCCTTTGCGGATGCTGCCAGCACAGAGATGAGACTTGTGTTAGTCAAAATGAAGTTGCGCTGACGATTGTGGGATGGATGTTGAGGAGGCTGGGATGAAGCCTGCTGCAAATCCCGACGCGTGCACGTGGCGCGACTTACAGAGCGCGTCTAGCTTTGCGAGAACGATCTCAACGGGTGCATGCCGCGGCGCAAAACCCTTCACATCAGCAGACGAAAGAAATAATTACGAGCATCAAAGTATGAGCGGGAGTAACGAACAGTTATGGATCAACCTGCTTCACCCAGGCCAACCGAGCGACCACCGCATCTGCAACAAGCTCACTACGGCTCGACCTCGGATTTCTCCCTCAACCCCTCTTCACTCCCGTCCCTCATAGCCTCACTCCCGCGAATCGCCTCGCCATTCTCTTCGTGCCTCACACTAGCACTGTCATCAGCCGTCCCTCCGTTAGTCTCTTTCCTAAGCGCCAACTCCGGGTTTGCGGATTCGAGCTTAACCCTCATATCTCCGCTCATCTCTTCCAGGCTGGGAACGACCCATTTTGCGCTTTCCCATGGCTTGACGCCCATCAGGTACATGGTATCAATTTCCTCGAGTGTGCGCCCTTTGCCTTCGATGACGAAGAAGTATACGATGAGACCACCTAGGATGTTTGTCCCGGCGAAGACGTAGCCATAGCGGAAATCTATGGCACCAGTGATGAAGGGCGTGAAGAATGCGAGAAGGAAGTTCCACAGCCAGTTCGATGCCGTTGATAGAGCCATGGCTTTCGCGCGATAGCGGCTGGGGTATAACTCTCCGCAGATTGTCCAGCTAGACGTTGTCAGTTTGACGTAGCATACTGGGAATCGGCGCGAAACTCACATCATTGGACCCCACGTTGTCGCAAAACCGAAGATGAAGAAACAAGCAAAGCAAATCATTGCCGTGGCTGCGCTTTCGGTGTTCTCTGGATTGTCGCGATCAAGGGCGAAGTGACCGACAGAAGCGAAAATGAGGAAGCAGATGAACATCCAGCATGAGCCGGCAATGAGCGACTTGCGACGACCGTAGTGCTCGACAATATAGAGGCCGTAGAAGGTGACGCCGAAGTTGATACCGTTCTACAGAAGGTCAACACTGTTATGGGTCGCCTTACGGAAGAAGAATGCTTACCAAGATCATCTGCGTAACGAACGAGTTCTTGATACCAGTGCCGGCAAAGACTACGGTACCGTAGTAGAAGCTTTGCGATGTCAGCATGTGCTCACTGGGGGTGATCAGCTGCTTACAAGTAGTTGGCGCCTGTCAACTGTTGAAACATCTGCAAGCCCATGCCAATTGCCAACCTGTATGCCATCTTCGGCGCCATCCACATACCCAACCATTCTTGTATGGGTCCGTTGGTAAGCTTGCTTTCGGCTTCGAGCTTGACCCTCATCTCCTCAAGCTCTAGCTGAATGCTCTGATGGTTGGTTGGTACCCCATATACTTTCGACATGGTTGCGGTGGCCTGGTCAATCTTACCATGACGGTAGTTGAACCGAGGTGTTTCGGAAAAGCCCAAGATACCTACCGCGAGGATAGCGGCAGGTACGAAGGAGAGACCGAGGGTGATCTGCCAGGATGCGGCTTTACCGGATTGGTGGCGTTCCGCAGCGTAATTGAAGACTGCGGCCAGGAAGATTCCGAATGTGATGAAGAGTTGGTAGGTGGAAATCAAGGCTCCGCGGATATGTCGAGGTGCTGTCTCCGCCTGTATCTGTCAGTGATGGACATTTGCTGTTTGTGTGAGGATCGTACTTGGTACATGGGTACGAGTAGGCTGAGTGCACCAACACCGAGACCGGCAACGAACCTGCCCATCATGACCTGATACCACTCATCTGTGGCAGCAATCTGGACAATGATGCCCACAGAGAAGATACCACACCACCATATGATGCTCATCTTCCGCCCAATCTTGTCTGCGATTGGTGCCGCAATCAAAGCACCAAACAATGTACCAATAGACAGTAGACCTACGATGAGTCCAGATCGTACGTTGGAGAAGTATGGCGTGCCATCTGCATGTCTCTGACCGAAGCGTCGAAGGAAGTCGACCATACCAAGGAACCCAGAGATCTGACCAGTGTCATAGCTAGAAGATTAAGCAGGAGCGAAGGTGATTTTGTTGGACGCTGCTCACCCGAAGACAAATCCTCCCATTGACACCAACATACCCATCCAGAAACTCTTCCATGTCAACCTCGGAAGTGGGGTATTATCGTAGCCAGCATGTTCGCCGACATTTTGCGATGTCTGCTCAACGGAGCTTTTGCGTCGCCAGTCTCTGACAGGGTTTGGTAACTTCATCTTGATCTTGTCCATCGTCGAGATGCGTTTTCATCAACAGAGTGAGGCAGGAATGCTGAGATAGTAAGCATTCTGAGGTAACACAACCTCTCTTATAAAATCGACTCATATTCGGCAACGGAACCTTGAGCTTCCATGCTGACGGAACCCCATTTGCCCCATGGGCACGAGATCATGCAGAGACTGACCAAAGATCGAAAGATCTTGGAGAGAACTGTGGGGCGGATCAGGGCGGATGAGAGTAATCCTCGCGGTTCGGTCGAGGACGTATCACGAGACTGATGACCGTTTGGTGGGATTCAATCTGGAGCCAGCAACACTTCCAATGTGACCAATAGTGCGTCGTAATTGATTGATGTCTCTTCGCTGATAGATACAAGTAGTGCTTAAGCACTGGAGCATGAGGTAGTGTTAAGCGAGAGCTCTGCGTGAAAGACGCTCAACTTCGTTCATTGCGCAATCTGACCATCCGAAATACTTGAGTCATGGCGTTCGACGTCATTCCTCGTTGGAAACAAGCATGAGTGCTGCTGAGCTTACTTCTGGAAGCATTCTGCTGTTCCAGAAACGCTTAGTGAGATACATCCTGGTATTCCGCTGGGTTCCGCGGCGGGTGGCAAAGGGTCGTACTGAAGACCTATCAGTTGTGAGTACCTCGGGCTCACGTAACATCTGTGGGCAGCGCTTTCTGGGGTTTGAGGAGGGGTGACTTGGGTTACTTGTTGGTTCGTGGGCGCGCGGGTGGTCAGTGAAACGGTCTTCTCCGATGAAATCTGGTAAAGGAACCGTCTCCGAGCTGTGCGAGCGGTATGTTGTTGAAGTTCTCTTGAGATCCATTCTCTCGTCTAGTCCATGCGATTGAGCCGACGGTAACTTCCGGATGGAGGGAAAGAGGATGCCTCTCGGTCTCTTTTGCCCGCCGAGTGTACCAGTCTGTTGCGCATTTCGTTCGCTTCGTCCGACACATGCCTAGACGCGATCGCAGTCAGTCTACCCAATATGAGAGTATCCACTATGTGCATGTGGTGATGTTGCTGCATGAATTTGCAAGTTCAGCACTCGTGGGGTAGGTGCAGTTCACCTGGGCAGGGTCCAGTAACCGCTGAGAGATGAGCACGAGCCATCACCCGTCCAACACAAAACGCCTTGAACGATGGAGAGCACGGTCGTTCGTAGTCCGATCAAAGCCGAGACTGATGTTTGGTATTCGAATTTTGAGTGCGACAAATGTGCCCAGAAACGCCACAACACCTGCTATGCATACATAAGTCGCAATCCTATGCCTTGTTCTGCGCCTTCTGCCACTTGGCGACCCTCTTCTTGATGTCCGCAGCGGTCTGCTGCATGGGGTTGAGCTTCCGGTCTCTCGCCATCTTTCCGTAGTCCTCCCCGTACTTGTTTACTAATCGCTCTACCCACTCCTGCTCCCTTTGGCTCTGTCCGCGGGGTGCCTTCCTCGCGCCGTTCATGGCTGCCTCTTCAAGTTCCCGGATGACTGGGTTCTCGGCCTCTTCAGGTCGCTCTGGTACCATAGAGAAGCCGTTCCACTCCATCTCCTCGTTGTCATCTTCGATCTCATTGAGGGGGTCGTTCAGCGGGTTGTCCTTCTTGTCGAGTGTGCCTGTTACGTTGAGGATAGCGCCTGTCTCGGGATCGCGCTCGACTTCGATCTCCTCGATTGCGATGTTCTCGGGCTTCTTGGCTTTTGAAACGATGTTGAGGGCGTCTGCTGTGCTGTTGGCGACGGTGTCGGCGCGCGAAGATTTCTCATCGTTGAGGCCGAGAAGGGCAATCGTCTTCTCTGTGCCACCGGTTGCGTGATTGAGGCGCGCTGTCAGACCGAGACGGCGGTAATTTTGCGATAATGTCTCTTTTTGGTTCCTGCGATTGTGTCAGTCTGATCGGTAACGCAGAGGCAAGCACATTGTGTCGTACCAGTGCTTCGCTATGATGGGGTTTTGCAGAATCTTCTTCTTGGAGGGTCCATTCTTGCGCTTCTTGGGAATGGACGACCGGTTCTTCTTCTTCTGGAGTTCGCGACCCATTTTGTATTGTTGTGGAGGATTGCGAGAGTATCAGTGTATTGTCTCTGGTGTTGCAGAGGCGCCGGTCGCAACTTCCAAAAGTTTTGGCGAACTTTCCGTTAGCGTTATCGATAGCGGGCGGGCTAGGTACCCACGAGCAGGCCAGTTTCCATGATGACAGACCCCTGAAGCATCAACCCCACGACCCAATATCAGGGTCTGTATATTGCATCCGACCAATTCACGCGTCATTATGGTGTCACGGCGCAACCGGACCTTGCTGTCCTTGGCAATCTTCCTCGGGGTGCTGGGATGGAACGTGGCAGCTGCAGCCGTCAAGGGCGAGACCGGCGTGCCAGTAGGCAACCTGAGCGCCCATGAGATCGAAGAGCAATTGCAGGTACGCCTTTTACTCGTCAACCTCACTAATCCTCTTTTGCCATCCTCTCGATCGTATAGAGGATAGTGCATTCTTTTGACATTGGATATCGTCCGAGATACCCTGATGTCGCGTGCTCATGGCGGTACTGACACCAGCTAGGAGTGTCCTCTTGTGCAGGCTCTCAACCAGCACAAGGCAGCCTCGAACCCGACTACGTCCTCCCTCACCTCCCAGATCTTTGCCTTCCTGTTCCCTGGCAGCCCTGCAGTCAATGCCCTGCTAGCGACGCTCTACATCTCGGGCCCACCAAACTTCCTCCTCGCACTATGCCCGCCCAACATCGACCCCTCCTCGCTCTCCGTCATGGTCGCATTCGCTGTAGGCGGCCTGTTGGGTGATACTCTCTTCCACCTGCTCCCTGAGATCTTCTTGGGCGAGGAAGAGCACGACTCGGTCAAGTTCGTCATGGTCGAACCCAACAAGAACCTGTTGCTGGGCGTAGCTATCATGGTCGGCTTCATCACCTTCGTGGCCATGGACAAGGGACTTCGAATTGCGACGGGAGGCCGGGGCGGACACGACCACTCGCATGGGCACTCGCACGACAAAGTTGAGGCTTCCGCGAAGACAACAGGCGTCGACGTCGGCAGCTCCAAAGATGGTGTGCGCTCCAGGAAATCTGGCACAAATGGCACATCGTCTGTCGTAGAGACAGCAGAGAAAGAGATCAACGCCAGTGTCAAGCTTGGTGGTTACCTCAACCTCATTGCAGACTTCACCCACAACATCACCGACGGTCTGGCGCTCAGCTCCTCATTCTACGCCTCGCCTACGATTGGTGCTACTACGACTGTGGCTGTCTTCTTCCATGAGATCCCTCACGAGGTCGGCGACTTCGCTCTCCTCATACAGTCTGGCTTCAGCAAGCGAGCCGCTATGGGGGCTCAATTCGTTACCGCTGTCGGCGCTTTCTTAGGAACTTGCATTGGCATTGCTGTCCAAGAATTTGGAGGCAGCTCCGCCTCTGCTGACATCCAAGGTCCTGGTATTATGGGCACTAGTCTGCAGTGGGGTGACATGCTACTACCATTTACTGCTGGTACTTTCCTCTATGTTGGCACTGTTGCTGTAATTCCTGAACTCCTCGAGACCGGTCCGAACAAAGGCCAAGAGCTCAGGAAGACTCTGATGCAATTCGCCGCCATGTTCACTGGCGCCGGTATCATGCTGTAGTAAGTTTCGCCATCCCTTATTGTGGTTTAATGCTGACTTCCGTAGCATTTCATGGAATTAGATTCTCTCACGAGTAGGTAGCTTGGCGGCCGCTCCGAGAATTTCTGTTCTCAGAATGCCGTAGCTTCCACCATTGTGTATTAGACGATCTGCGAGGTTGGCATGCATGGCGCAATTTCAAACCGATAGAGCTTAGAATTTGACCTCGACAGCGCACGGCGGGCATAAGCCGGCGCCGATCAAACTCGTATCTTGTAAATGCGCCAGAGTTGCCAACGTACAATCCCAATGGCGCCTTTCAGTCTGGCAAACTTCCCCTTCTGGGCGCATCGTGAGATCAGCATTGCTCTTCAGTACACCAACTCTTTTGCGAACTCATCCTAACGTCGCTTGCTCTCTTCGGTCTTTTTCACAAATACTGGGTCCAGGCCTTGCTCATAACTCATATTCCGGCGCATTATCAACGACTCATTGGAAACGAATTCTACCACCACGTAGGTTTGGCACACATGTATCAAATTCTACTCACCATCACTATGGCGCATTTAGAGTACTTCTCGCAAAAGGTAGCTGGAATCGGCTGCTTACACAGAAGGCCCGTGTGTGTTCTCTCCAAGATTGTAGTGCTGACGGGCTACGTATCCAGCTCCGAACATTGCACGGCTGAACACGCCCAGGGCCCAAACTTCCCCGGATTACGGGCTTGTCCCCCCAAAGGTTATTCCCACTATGCCAGGATCAAGACCGCCGCAGCGGTCGTGGCTGTGCGTTGTGAGATATGGCTTCCGCCCAAGACTGATCAGTGCACAGTTTCAGCTCGCGCTTATCTTGCATAACCACACCAGGCAGTCAGCTGCACGTTCATTTGGGGGTGTTCGTCGTGCGATTAGGCGTAGTTGTGCTTGCACGAACGACTCTCGATTGGCTAGCTGATTCATCTTCTGCACAATTGGGGTAAGGCGTGCAACGAGTGATCTTGGAGCATACCAGTTTGGTCACTAAGCCACACTTGCACACTAGCGTTGCCGCCTTACCGTCTTGACGAGCGCGAAGTGGCTGCCGAGTAACCGCCGCCTCTGTCATACATATGGGCCGCATGGTTGTCATGCCGCTGTCAGACTTATAATGTGCTAGATCCCACATTTCTCCTTGACCGACTTCTCGTTCTCAGTGTTTGGGGTGTTGGTACTACGACGACTTGCGAATCGCGACTATACTTGTGTACAAAAGGCACAGGCATCCGGCCTCCACTTGAGATCTATCTATCAGACTTCACGACGTGATGAAAGAGTTGGCGTGCGACAAGAAGATCTTTTCGCAGAACGAAATGCACACGACTATCCGACCCCAATGCAGATATACGCCACGATACCGAGCGATCCTACCCACACTCCTGATCCTGCTATGCATACCGATCTTCTTCTACCAACTAGTACCGAAATATACACACGCCACCGAGGACTTCATATCATCTCTCACGAACACGCTTCGCCCACAATCGACGAGTACCTTTTGCACAAAAGAAGTCGGAACGCCGCACTGCTGTGCCGTATACCTCGCCGCCGCACCCTGCCTGGACGAATGCAGGAAACAACACATGGACCGCGAAACTCTCTCTGTGACAGCACAATATGAAAGTTGCGCAGACGAATGCTTGGTCGAATACCAAGAGACATGCAAGAAGGCGCAACATCCACAAACATCCCTCAAATCGTCACAACATGAATGAGCTATCCACATCAACAAAATACAAACAATTATTTACATGAGAACCTCCATCGCCCTGTACAACGACACAAACATCACACCCCGCATGCATGCTCCAAAGAAAGATGAGCCAAGAGGCTGGAACAGTGAAGAGGCGGTGCAGGGCGGGTACGCCAAGACTGAGGCGCAGGGGATGACCGGCTAGAACGGCACTGCACGGCCACTCATGAGCTCAGTGATCTCGTGAACCGCGGCCGAGGAAGAACGGGAATGTCATCTCAGTAATCTTGTGTTTCAGGCCATCACGTTGCTGGAACGTCGAGAGGTGGGGGCTGGGTTACTGTGGTGATGTGATATAGGGTGATGGTCTGGGATGGGAGGGAAATGGACTTGAGGAAGCGAGGCGAAAAGTGTGGCTTGACACATTGCTAGGGATCCGTGCCAGAGAAGAGATTGGACAGATATAGGCATGTCCATCACCTTTCATATGTAACAATACAGCACAGGAGCTGCGAGAAGCGAATACGCCTGCTCAGCAGAGGACATAAGAAGAATACCAACATCACATATACTCAACAACCTGCCTGTGTTTACGCCTCGGATTTCAGACTCGGCATCTCCACAGCTCTCCCGTTCTGCAATTTCCCATGTTGTAATTAGCAAGCATTTTAGGTCTTCGGCATCGCCGTAAACATCACGATGAGATTGAGAATGAAGTTCCGGGTAATTGTTCCATGCCATACACAGACGAGTGGGGCATGATGTCCAATCCCCTACCGAGGTGATTCTTAACAAGTTAGCGATACCATGAAATACACGCGCTGTAGTGGTGTTCAATGCTTGTCCTTCCCGCGGAGGACGCAGCGCGTCTTTTCGCGCTTAGTGCGATTCGTAGCGCGTGACGTCAGGGTCTACTGCAACACCATCTCTCATCATCGCTTCATGCCGTCTCTGCATCAACATTCATCGGTACGGCATCGATACATCAAGTGCCCAATACCGCCAATATGAAAGACATGTGCGCTCAAGCAGTTGGCCTTCGCTTCGGGCGCGTGGCAGCGCGACGGTCCGAGCCAAGAGCGCACACACATTCTCCACCGTTGCTTCCGGAAATGTGATCGCGGGAAGCAATCAAGCCGCCATCTTGCTCGATACGAGCAGTATTGCAGGATTGAGACCTATATTACGCTCTCGGTATAGCGATCAACAGTTGAAGCAATTGATGGAGCGGATGGACTGTTGACGGCACATCATCGCGATTGCAGCCTGCGTTGAACTCAGGTATCATTTACTGCTGACGCTGGAGAACTACCTAAAGTTAGTTCGTCACTTCGACGATAGGAGGATTCTGGTACTTTGCCTCGAGATCCTTTTCGGTCATGGAAGTCGAAAGTGCTGCGGGCATGGTCACATCGTTTGTGAGAAGTGCGCATCTGGAAGCTGGCTTTGCGAGTGGTGGGACATCCTATATACTGATTCTGCGAATCTGGTCTCTGCTGGTCCTCTGCATTATCGTATTCGTGCACATGATAACTTCACCTTCAGTAGCAGAATGCACACCGTACGGTTCCAACACCTCTACTAGCATCGTTAGCGACACCCTCACCGCTTTATTCTTATATCACCATCATATGGCCTCAGCACGATAACTTGGATGGGCTTCTAACTCACCTGCTACTAAGATGTAGACCTACAAAAGGATCTTTGTACCTTTCGACCTACCATAATCCCTAACCTCACTTTCGCCGTCCAGAAAGCCAACCTTCCTTGACCTGTATCTTGAGTAGCAGCCTCACAACAGCTCAATTCCAGCCATACTAAGATACACAAACACGATGACAACCTCAGGTTCCGGTACTGGCAGCATGGCCGACCCTTTCACGATGACCGCAGCGCCAGACCTACCACCCAAATGTACTATCTGCAAGAGCGATCTTACCATCAGGGACAAGCAGAAGACCACGAAGAACTACTGGAAGAACTGCCAAAGCTGTCGGGACAAGATGAAGACGGCAGCGTCAAATCGAAAGCGGCTGCTAACGCCAGCCTCCTCTACCATTGACTCAACTACAAATACATCCGCAAAGAAACAAAAGAAGAAACTAGCAAAAGTAGTCAAGCCGAATGTAGAGTTCCGCAGGTTTCCCAGGACAGTACCTTCAAAGACAACACCGCGGAAAAACAGTATCGCATTGTCCGATGAATCGCCGTCCACCAGGGCATTCTTCGATGGGCTCTTCGGCTTGGATTTGGGTTGGTCGGATCCAGACGCCGAAGGTCTCATACAACACGGCAGCTCGAACTCTGAACTCATCGGTAAAATTAAGAATCCCAGCATTGAGCAAAGAGATATAGGAAAAGAAAAAGCGAGAACAGTTATCGGGAAGAGTGCAAATGAGCCTCACAACTCCACCTTTACGCAGCAGTCTAACGAGAGGGAGTGCAGTTCCTGCGCAGACTCTGTCCCCGTAAAAGGGTTTCCAAGCCTTGAAGGATGCGATCACGATCATGATATCTGTCAAGAATGCTTCATTCAGTGGTTGAACCAGCGGATGGCAAGCGAGGAAAGCGTCACTTGTCCGTCAAGCGGTTGCACCAACACAGTGACGCATGCAGACGTTCGTAAACACGCGCCACGAGACGTTTTCACTCGGTAAGACACCCAAACTCATCAGAAGTGGTAGTTTCACACTTGCTTACGTTATTGAACAGGTTCGACGAGCTTTCCATGGAAAGCTACCTCAGCACCAACAAAAGCTTCATGTATTGCCTTGCTGAAGGCTGCCCATCGGGCCAGATTCACGACACTGGGGTAGAAGGCCCGATCTTCAGCTGCGCCGCTTGCGGATATCGCATGTGTACTGCCCACAACCCCGTCATACCGTTTCACGAGAATGAAGTATGCACGAAATACATCGAGCGAATTGAACGCGAGAGATTTGAACGCGAGGCACGAGACGAAGAAGTACGCATCAGAAGAGAACAAGAAGAAGCAAGTGTCGCCGAAGTTGGGAAGTCTTCAGTGGAGTGTCCGGGCTGTGGAACGCAGATTCAGAAGACAGAAGGATGCGATCATATTACTTGTAAGCATATTAACATGCTCGGTTTCTCGGTTCATGCTAACTTTCAAAGGTCGTCGGCCGGGATGCGCTTTTCAGTTCTGCTACAGGTGTCGAGCTCCATACAAAGGCGTGCAAGGCATCAGCGGTATCGGTAACTCGGCGCATGCTGAGTCATGCCGACACCATTCTTCACGGCTGCCCAATTATCACGCTGACGACGACGAGGAGTGGGTTTAATCGTGGTCGTAATACCAAAATGCATTCTGCTCAGTGGACCTCCTGAGAGTTGAGCGCAGCAGATCTCGCTGGTGGTCTCATTTGGTTCAAGGTCTGCGAAAAGACCAAGGAGCACAAAAGCATGCACGGCATTCATCTTGTGCAATAATTTTCATGCGATCTTAGCGTGAGTTTTGTTCTCGGGTGTTGTCTCTTTCTGGCGGCTGCTACTGTGCTGCCACACGGTCATGAATCTAGGACCTTCACCCATGTTCCATTAGTTGCCACCACCCATCAGATCCTTATTCTTATATCATAAGCGAGCGAAATATTTTGCGTCAGCTTATATTGGCAGCTTGTCAGTGAAAAATAACCAAAGCATATCCCCTTTCATATTCACGCGCGCTGAATCTGGGCATGTATACACTTGATCGCGCACTTGTCAATCGTATGATCGATGGCGCATCTCTCAAACCCCTTGATTCTTCGACATAGGTTAGCAAGGCGGATGCAAAACCCGGCCAGCCGGTCAATCCCCAAGGACACTCGCGAGATGACCGAAAACAATACTTACGCGCCCTTCAAGGAGCCATCTAGCACTTGAGCTTCTCTGGCGTCCTCGCCATCTACGCAGCAAAGTCTCCGGACCAGATATGTATCGCATGTGCGGTAATGCGCTCGCTAAAGGATTGCACCCACGTACGGAAGTGAGAGCATGCCCCCAACATATGCCAGGAGTGCATCGGCTAGTGACCGAACGTCGAAATGTGAAATACAGCTGTCGTTCATGTCCTTTGTCCATCGGCGGCTTTGTTCACGGTGTGCGACCTTGAAGACGTCCATGAATTTGCGCCCGCTGAACTGTTTGACCGGTAAGCCATCGCCTTTCCACTTCTTCTCCGTTACTAACATCTGGAGCTACGATAAAATGACGCTCCAGACTTTCCTGCGCAACCCTTTCAACTTCCGCTATTGCAACCTTCTAGAGTACTCTTTCGGCCAGCTGCGGCACACAGAAGATATAGAGTCTTCATCTGCGCAGCATGTGGCTATCTCAGCTGTTTCAAATACAGCGTTGCTTTGCACCCCGGCGAAACGTGCGAGCGTTCCAACGCCCGAAAGGTGTATGGAGGCATGAGCTTTCATGGGGAAGGCAACTAGCAAATTCCTCGAGAAAGAGACGAAGAACTACCCTGGCTGCAGAACGTACTTCAGTCCAGAAGTATAATGCAAACGATAGGAGAAGCGCAGCGGCAAAATGGGTGAAGATGCTTCGTGTGCCTGGTGCCTGTCGAATACTCTGATCCCTTCTTTCAAATCGGCGTGAGCACGCGATCTTCCAACAACTAGGTATACGATGAGTCTTATTTCTGATTCACGGCAGCTGATTGAACCATCGTGACTGTACCTTTAACTGTATCTATAGTACCAGTCTTCGAGATAATCCGTGAGAGGCTCATAGGCCACTGGGTGAACCCCGTCATTGTCTCTCTCACCGTTCGATACCTCGCCTAGCGCATCGACTATATCTCGCGCGTAATATCACTAACTATGATGACGCAAAGAGTCAAAGCATAGCACAAAAGAGACAGCTCGCGTTCGTGGCACGCATATATTATATGCTCAAACACATGCATCATCCCCGTATCACTAACAGAGATATTTGGCATGCTTATCTTTGACTCTCAGCAGTATGACAGCTTTCTGAACGCTGGGAAACCAACATGTATTCGCGTCGCACGATCGACGTGCCCATGCCTTTGACTGATCATGATCAACACATTCATCGGTCTCTCACTGGAGTCAACAGTTATTTCGTGGAGTCATGCTGGGTATAAAACGGAGGCGCATCAACACCAGTATGGATGCACAACAACAATCTTCAGCATACCATTACTTCCGTCTACTTCACAAACATATCCTTCAAAACAGCTATTCAACCGAAATAACACGTCACATCAACATCAACACGTCGTCCGCACGGCCTGCGAGGAAGGAGTTCGATTACTTCATTGAGCACGAGGCTCGGGAATACAACAGGATTAAAAGAGAGAAGGCAGAAGCCGAAAAGAAAGAGGATGAAGCCAAAAAGCAGACCGAAGAGGACAACAAGAACAAAGACAAGAGCGCCACTGAAACCTCGAAGGCCAGCAGCAGTGGCGGGACGTAGTGCAGTGGTTGGAAAACAGAGATGTCAACAAGCAAGTCAAGCAAGTCCAATCTCTTATCTGTTGCCCATCTATATTCTAATTCGACTAGCCTACCACCTCAAGCAGAACGGTCGCTCACGGGGCAAGCAATAAAAATTGCTTGTTGATATTTCTGATGGAAGGTAACGAGGCACATGGGGTGTGTATGGTCGTCGAGGCATGTAATTTGTAGCCAAGCTTCACTGGTTGAAGAGCTCCAAGATTACAGATTGTGGGTTTCCTTAACACATTCATTATGTCAGATCTTGTAATAATGTTTTCATACCTAATTGAACACGGATCCTGTGCCCACTTCTTGAGTAAATTTACCGTGCGTTGATACCTCTAGTATCGTTACCACCTTACGAGATTTCGAATAGCTAGCAGGGTCACCGAGAGTTCGTCACGAGGCTGCGCGGATAGAGCAACCGATAAGGCATCGCTGTGGTGTACATAAACGGTGTATGTATCGTGTTGGCTAGCAGAGGCCACTGGTCCATGAATGCCACTGGGGCTGGAATTGATCGACATGGGTGGGGCTCAATTGCGTCACGCGTCGCGGCGCGTTCTTTCCCACACCAAGCCCGCCTTTCATACCTCACGCAGCTGTGTACACATTGCGACATCTCAGTTGATACTCTCTGGTCTTGCGATTCGCTACCCTCGGGAGACGCAACATATAGTTGGTCCGCTAACCTTTCGCCAGCTTCTCGCCGACGCGATGCTCCAAACCACGCGAAATGCTACGCGCAGGCCGTAGCAGTCTGCGTGGCGCGCCTATCACAGAACTTCGAGAGATTACGCGACCCTTGAAGCGATGAAGCCTCAGTCGTATGCCACACGACACCATATGTTATATTTGGGACAGGCTGGTCAGTCGACAGCAGCGTCCGCATACGTCAAACGCGTAATGTCCCACTACATCTGACCAGATAATGTTGCGTACCAGCTACCCTACCGGGTTGGAGATCTTCTAGCTTGACTTTTCATTCAGGGTAATGGTTCATTATTCCACTGTCCTATTCCACTGTCCTAATGTTAACGTCATAGCGCAACAGGCCCACGAATAACCTTCGGCAAACCGCGAGATACCCAAATCCCCGCCGTCTCGATGCGCGATACCCAACCGAAGCCGCTACACAAACTGGCGTATGCGATCGATAACCTCTCCGCGAGACAGTCACCTTCATGCAAATTCGCGCGATACTGCCTTGGTTACGGGCCAACGGAATGAACAAACCCATGGCTGGGCCGACCTAAGATGCACATGTTGACATCTAGGTAAAAGCATAGAGACTAGTCAATACCCATATTAGGCATCATTCTTTTAGGTCACAGCGTGCCTGCTATGCACGATATTCTCAGGGTGTCTGGACATAGATACTTCACCCAAGTGGTGTAGGGACGTGGAGGAAAAGACCAACTACACAAGCTTGAGTCAAACACCCCTATGCGTATCCGTCCAAAATCGCCAGATAACACGGCCAACGCCACCCTAGTACTCCGGCCATTGCTACTGCATCTCGGCTTCTTTGAGGATGTGCAGACAGTTTGACGCGCATCCGAAAGGAGATCAACAGTACTCATCTACGATCCTTTATCGTATATGTTTAGAGCGTGAACAAAGCTAGAGGTCACATAAGGTTAACAGTGGGTAAAACCGTGAAGCAATGATTGAGCAAATAGTTGGTATTCTTTGTGTGCTTGATTTCTGCACGCAGCCTCACGTTGGCCTTTGTCGGTTTGTTTCATTGTTACTCATCATTGATCCCAACGGCAGAAGACATACACAAAGCAGGTACAGCGCAACATGTGCCGAAGGCCCATGTTTGGTTCCATAGATATGGCAAACTGTATAGAAGCTGATGTAGATTCAAGATGCGAATTCTCAATAGCTAGATGTACCCTACGAAGCCACTTCTGGACTACACTATAGCTTCGGAAGTCTTAAAACACCTTACACGGCATCATGACGAAAGGGCCACCGTACAAAACCGGGCAACCTTACTTTAAGAGAACTTTCGAGACATGGTGTCGGACTCACCGACCAAGATGGTCAGGAGGTAAGCCTTCAAAAATGGGCATGCTGAGATGGTAGCTTACTCTATTAGACGATGTGAGATTGACTGCTCTGACCTTGTGGCATGGAGACATAATCATTCAAAACTATTTCCTTCGAAGGGTTGGGAAGAAGTTTGAGTATCCTATGCAGCGACAACATCAGGTGCCAGCCGCACCATGGACCCAAAATGATGTAGACACCGCAAAGAGAACGAGACAGCTACCTGGAGTTGCGCCTCTTGTCATTGCAGCTCCTCCGGCAGCTCCTCCAGTTCAACCCTACCCTTGCAGCTTTTGGCCCAACAGGCCGTGGGACGCAGATCCAGAAGACGCTTCTATCCGTCCGGAGATTACGATCGAGGCCATCAAGGATGACGTTATGGAGGATAACGCCAGACTAGAGTGGGTGACGACAAAGCCGTTCTTTTGGCCAATTCGAGATGAGCAAAACTGGGAGAATAAGAGATTTCTCGGCGCTGGCGCCTATGGCTGTGCGGGATTGTGGTGTCAAAGTGATGCCCAAGGTAACATATCAAGGGTATGTGACTTCAGGCATAGGATCATTACTCAGGTTTGAGAGAGCGTGCTGACAAAGAACAGCGGATGGTTATCAAAGAAGCGAGGCTTGACAAGTCTCATTGGCGTGACCCTTGCCTTTGGCGAGAGCAGTTGCCATGCGAGATCCGCATGCACCAGCTAGTCGATGACGGCCGCGTGGTGTCTGATAACGCCGATGAGCCTGCTGATTCTGCTTACAAAACTCTGGTTAGACATCATGGGTGCCGCTTGATGATGACCCAGCGGCGTTATCGCATTTTCTTTGACTACTACGAAGGCGGCGATCTTTGGCATGCTTTAGAGAAGCACTGCAACAGATTGAATAAGATAGTTTATGCTTACCAAGGTGACCAGCCATGGCTTGACACCGAATGGGACGAGGAGTTTCGTTGCTACCGTAACTCGGAAGGGGAGTCCGGAGAAGCAGGATTGTTGGAGAAGATACCCGAAAGCCTTATCTGGAGAATCGCTAGCTCGCTCGTTCAAACGTGTCAGATCCTGCATTTCGGCCAGGTCAGTATTGGAGGTGTGCAGAACACCACACCTGAGTGGAAACCGATCAAACACTGCGATATAAGACTCGACAACATCTTCATCAAGCCAGCGGCTCAGGAGAACGAGAATGAGGTCTGTGACCAACCTCCATAGATTACGTTGGAGATCGTGTGCGCTAACCGGCCCAGTACCCAACGTTTGTCTTGGCAGACTTCGGCCTCTCGTTTACGGACATGGGTGCTCCTGCAACTGACAACCCATCTGAGTATGTCAGGGAAACGGCAGACCCACGATATGCGCCTGTGAGTAACAAGGCTACTATCCGTATATTCTTACGAAGCTAATCAGAAGCAGGAACACCAGTTTGTAGTTGATGACGCAGCAGAAAGCGGTGGGGTAGTACCCCTAGACGAAAAGACAGATGTATGGCAGATGTACGTACACCACCATGGAATACCCGTTCGAACTTTACTAACTGCAACTCTAGCGGTGCAGTACTTTACTCACTACTCAGCAATGGTTTGTACCCCCCTCTCGGCCAAGGGCCATGTCGCTTTGTCGAGAAGTTTGACGCAGCTGTACCTTTCGCCGGCGAACATGGCGACCTGAGAACCTACACCGACCCAGAGGATGACCCATGGAATGACATGGATTTCTTTCCTACTTTCAAACGTTACAGCGAGAATCTGAAGCTATTGGCGTTGGCGTGTCTGACATGGCAATCGAGTGAACGGCCGACGTTATTGGAGATGAGGAATAGGATCGATGATTTCCTTACGACGCACCCGGATGTTGCGAATGATCGGAATATGGAGTCGCTAGAGGTCGTTCGAGATTTGGAATTCGCGATTGGGCAACCTATGAATTAGACACGGCTTTAGTCTTGGCAGATCGATGCGCGACTTTGAAATCTGTATGCGCCCATAGCTATGGCAACGGCTTCACGATATCCAATAACCTATCTGTAAATACGTGCTTGTATCCATGTCTTTGTCCTTCCGCATCAGCCATCTCCCGGCGTCAGCATAAGTGCCGCAACAGGAAGTTTGCATCTCTTTGTTCGGCCGTTGTAGTCCTGAACGCACCTTACCGATATAGCCTTTTGGGAAACAGATCGAATGACAAGTTGTTCTAGCACATCCACCAATGCCACGGAAGCCACCACCCTATAAGTCCGGTCTCCCCTACTTCAAACGCGACTGCGAAGCCTACTTCCCCACCAATGCCTCGACAGTCACATGGAGCCGCGCCGAGCAAAACAACACGGTCACCACGTTATGGTATGGTAGTCGAATCGTCCGCGATTACTACAACGCGCGAATCGGGCGACGAGAATTATTTGGTCTGCCAACACCAAACCCCATACCAGATAACCCGTTCAATGCGAGCGACGTCACGTTCGTGCGCACAAACAAGAGTATGCCGCCGTATCGTGATGGGTTGGGAGGAACGGAGCCAGCGTGGGTGAATGCTCCAGCGGGATTCGGTGCGCTTGCGATGATTGTGCCACCGCCCGCTGTGGTCGTTGCAGGCCCTGTTGCAGCGCCTGTTCATGCCGTTACAGTACCGCCACCACGGCCGGTAAATCGATATCCCTTCGACTTCTGGCCACCTAAGCCGTCGGATGCGGAGCCAGATGATGCGACCTTAGGCATGACCATAAAAGCCATCAAGTCTAAAGAAGAGCCCGAGAACGGTGAAAACTGGATGGATGATACCCATGATCCATATGGCGACAGAAGAAGGTGGATAGGCGGGAAGTTTCTAGGTGCAGGCACTTTTGGATGTGCAGGTTTGTGGTGCGCAGTCGACGACAACAACATCGTGACGGCCAGAATGGTCGTTAAAGAAGTCCGCCCACATAACT